ATTGTGTGTGTGACTGTGTGTGTGTGTGACTGTGTGTGTGTGTGACTGTGTGTGTGTGACTGTGTGTGTGTGTGACTGTGTGTGTGACTGTGTGTGTGTGAGACTGTGTGTGTGTCTGTGTGTGAGTGTGTGTGAGACTGTGTGCGTGTGAGACTGTGTGTGTGACTGTGTGTGTGTGACTGTGTGACTGTGTGTGACCGTGTGACTGTGTGTGACTGTGTGTGTGTGACTGTGTGTGTGTGACTGTGTGTGTGAGATTGTGTGTGTGACTGTGTGTGTGAGATTGTGTGTGTGACTGTGTGTGTGTGACTGTGTGTGACTGTGTGTGTGACTGTGTGTCTGTGTGCGAGTGTGTGTGAGACTGTGTGCGTGTGAGACTGTGTGTGTGACTGTGTGTGTGACTGTGTGACCGTGTGACAGTGTGTGTGACTGTGTGTGTGTGACTGTGTGTGTGTGACTGTATGTGTGTGAGATTGTGTGTGTGACTGTGTGTGTGTGTGACTGTGTGTGTGTGTGACTGTGTGTGTGACTGTGTGGCAAAACAACCTCCTACCTCCTCGCGGTGCCGGACGGGCAACACTGTCGTGGGCAGTGCTGTGGGGGGAGGTGCCAATGCCCATTGGCCTCTCCCCTCATGGCGTCTGTGACCACCACAGTGGCTAAACGGGGGCTCTGGACGGGTGTGAGGGGCTGGTAACCCCTCCACCTTCAATTAACCACCACTAAACCACGAATTAAACATAAACCTGTAACAAATAAGCTTGTGCCGGAGGCCCCGGGGGGTCAGGCTTTTATGACGTCTCCTGGCCAAACCCCATTTGGCGAAGCCAGGAGATTGAATTTTCACCCTCGGGGCTCCTCCAGAAACAACAAAAAACCACTGCGAATGGCCACGTGGAATGTTCGAACGCTCACTGCGGAGGAGAGGCTGCCACTCCTCTGTCGGGAGCTGGACCGGTACCGCCTGGATCTCTGTGGCATTCAGGAGGTCCGGTGGACCGGTTCTGGCTCCTGCCACCATGAGGGGTGGACAGTCCTCTACTCGGGGCAGGAGACTGCCAAACAACAGGGTGTGGCTCTTCTTCTGAACAAAAGAATGAAGGGGGCGTGGGAGCGTGGCGGTGAGGTGTGGGAAGCTGTAAGCCCCAGGATACTTTGGGCTCGCCTTCCCATCAACCAGAGGCGAGGAGTGGTGATCGTGGTTACTTATGCCCCCACCGAAGACGAACATCCGTGGAGGGATGCAGGCAAAGCCGATGAGTCAGACTCTTTCTATGACCTCCTGTCACAGGTGCTGGCTAAAGTGGCCACTCGGGACAGAGTCATCTTGTTGGGTGACTTCAATGCCCGAGTTGGTCATGATGCTGATACCTGGTCTGGAGTGATTGGAAGGCATGGGCCAGATCAGCTCAATAATAACGGTAGGAGGCTGCTAGATTTTTGTGCAGCCCATGGGCTTGTAATTACCAACACGCTCTTCCGGCATCGGCGCATCCACACAACATCATGGATACATGCCGGGTCCAAGCAAGAACATCTGCTGGACTACATAGTGACGGACCAGCGGATGCGAACCCATGTCCTTGACACCAGGACCTACCGTGGAGCTGATCTGTCCTCTGACCATCGATTAGTCATCTGTAAGATGCGCCTGCCTTTCTTCCACTCCGGTGGTGGGTGTACATCCAGGATCCCATTCCAACCAAAAGTGGCCTGGTCTCAGTTAGCTGATGAAAGTTGCAAGCGAGAATTTCATCATCGCTTGCAGCTGGGGTTGGCATCGTCCCCCACTCCACCTGATGTCGAGGGGAAATGGGCGAGGTTTAAGACTGTGACTCATGCAGCTGCAATGGCTGCTTTGGGTACGCGGTCCAGACCTCCCCAGAAACCCTGGCTGACAGAGGAGGTGTTCAGGTTAATTGAGAAAAAGCGTCAGGCCCACTCTCATCGCCTACAGCATCCCACGTCAGAGAATGAGGAGGTTTACCGCAGCCTTCGCTCGGAAGTTCGGAGAGCCGTAAGGCGCTGTAAGGATGGGTGGTGGTCGCGGGTTGCTGAGGAGATGGAGTCTGCCTCAGTGGCCCGTGATCACAAATCACTATTTAACTCCATCAAAAAAGTAACCTGCAGCGCCACACCTATTACCATCATTAGAGGAAAAAACGGTGATCCAATCTCCGACCCCCAGGAACAGGTTTGCAGATTTGCTGAGCATTTCTGTGAGGTCCTGGGGGAGGGAAATTCTCTCAGCCAGGAAAACATCATGGCACAAAGTGGTGATAACCCTGCTGAGGCTGCGGTGCCTCAAATATTGGAAGAGGTCACCCCCTGTGAGTGGCTGGCTGAGGTGCCAGCTGTTGAGGAAGTACTGAGGGCAATCCGGAGTCTGAGACCAGGGAAGGCATCGGGCAGAGATGATCTCCCAAGCGAAATGCTGAGGGAGGGTGGCGTTTGTGCACAGACTGCCCTATATGACATCATAACAACAGTCTGGACCACTGGACGGGTTCCGCAGGACTGGAAGGATGCCCTGGTGGTCCCCCTCTTTAAAAAGGGGGACCGTACCGACTGTAACAACTACAGGGGCATCTCACTCCTCAGTGTGCCGGGTAAGGTCCTGGCAAGGATTATTCAACATCGCCTTGCTAAGCACGCTGAGGAGAGGCTTGCGGAGCCCCAATGCGGTTTCAGGAAAGGGCGGTCCTGCACAGATGCCATATTTTCTGTCCGTCTGCTACAGCAGAGGTGTAGGGAATTCCAAAAAGACCTACATCTCTGCTTTATTGACCTGGTCAAGGCCTATGATACCATCAGTAGGACTGGGTTCTGGGTTGTTCTTCGTGCTTTCGGAGTCCCTGACCCTCTGCTCACGATCATTAAGGACCTTCATGATGGTGAGCGGGCCCGGGTAAAACTACGTGGCCGGGAGTCGGAGCCTTTCCCTGTACACCTTGGGGTGCGACAGGGATGTCCTCTGGCTCCCACATTATTTAACATCTATTTTGACCGCGTAGTTCGTGAAGCCTTCAATAGCTGTACCGGGGGAATTTCCATTTGGTACAGATATAATGGGAGGCTGATCGACGCCCGGGTGCGATCAAGGGATGGCTCCCTATTGGTCAACCATGTTATGTATGCCGATGATTTGGTAATAGCTGCTCATTCAGAAGAGGAGTTGGAGACGCTGCTGCTGAGACTGGAGCGTGCCACTAAGAGGTGGGGCCTTACCATCAGCCCCACCAAAACTAAGCACCTGCCTGGGTATTTTGTACCATCGGACACTCCACCCCCACAACTCCCAATTGGTGATGGGGCAGTTGTGGAGAGAGTGGAGAGTTTCCCATACCTGGGCAGTGTGCTTATGACCGGCTCCAGTCTATCGGCAGAGGTCTCACTCCGAATCAGTCGAGCGGCAATATCTTTTCATCGGTTGCGTAACGCTGTGTGGAAGCTACCTGGTCTGTCGCTCCGCACGAAGCTTCAGGTCTTCTCGGCCACGGTCATTCCTTCCCTTCTCTACGCTTGCGAGACGTGGACCCCCCTGGTGGAGCATCTTCGCCGGTTGGAAACATTTAGGCTGGCCTGCCTACGATCCATCCTGGGTTTAACCAGGCTGGATTGTGTGAGGAGCTCACAAATCCTTGAAAGATCTGGGCAAAGTCCCATCAGTGAGCTCCTCCGGCAGGCAAGGCTGCGTTGGCTGGGTCATGTAGCCCGCATGCCCAGCCACCGCATGCCTAAACAGCTTTTGTTCGGCCGGATCGAGGGGGCTAGACGGGCGCGGCACGGGCTGGAGAAGAGATGGAGTGATGTGGTACAGGAGGACGTGGAGCTGAGTGGACTTGCCGATGACTGGTACCAGCGGTGTCAAGATCGGCCTCAGTGGAGGAGGCTCGTGAAGGACGCTACTGGGCAGTTGGAGGCAGTCGCCCTCCAACAACAACGGAGGGCGGAGGAGCGACGCTCACAACAACGAGCGGAGCGCCGGGTGGCTAAAGCACAGCAAGTCGGCACAGTAGGGGGCACAGGTGGTGCATCAGCCAGTCATCTCGGTCATCTCGGTCAGTCGACCCGTGGCACCTGGGTCTGCCCCGTGACCTCCTGCCAGCGGGCTTTCGACACTTCACGTGGCCTCAAGGTGCACTTGGCCTGGCACAAGCATCGTGGTGACGTCACCGCCACTTAGTGGCGAATGGCGGTTGTTGTTGTTGTTGTGTGACTGTGTGTGTGACTGTGTGACCGTGTGACAGTGTGTGTGTGTGTGTGACTGTGTGTGTGTGACTGTGTGTGTGTGTGACTGTATGTGTGTGAGATTGTGTGTGTGACTGTGTGTGTGTGTGACTGTGTGTGTGTATATATGTTGAGGGGGGCGGTAGAGTAGTGGTTATTCGCTGCGCTACGAACCCGGAGACCCGAGTTCGATTCCCACTCACGGCCAACACCGGTGACGATTATCTGAACCCGTCCCGGGCCTCCCCTAGGTCGACTCAGCCTCGAATGAGTACCTGTGCGCGGTGTTTAAACATCGCCACTGGGGAGACAAAGGCGACCGCGCGTGGTGCTCGCTAACAGCACTTACATAACGGACTGTGTAAGGCTACATGGGGGGTCTTTGTCTTTGTGTCTGCGTGTGTTGGCACCGTGGGTGGTTGGCGCAACTTTGCTCCGAAACCGGCGATCAGAGTTCGATTCCCCGCCCGCTCACGACCAACATCAGTGATGAATATTTGACCCAGTCGTGGGCGTCCCCTAGGTCGACTCAGCCTTAAGTGAGTGCCTGAGGCAAAAGCGGCCGGGGCGTGGTTCTGGCAACTCCACTTCTTCGCGTGGCGCGCCTGAATTCGCAGGTGCTACTCGCGCACTTGCCCCGACAGCCTTGCGTGGGCTATACGGGGGATCTTTGTCTCTGTCTTGTGCGTTCCCATGCCCCCCGCCCCCCCCCCGACTCGCCCCCTAAAACCCCCTCCCGCCGCCGACCCAAACCACTGCGGCTCTGCTCGCAGCGCCACGCGGACTCTCAACCTCGAGCAGCGCCGAGTGAGAGTGAGTGGGAGACTGAGCGAGTGGCGTGTGTGTGTGTGTGTGTCACAGTAGGTACACGTGTGTGTGTGTCACAGTAGGTACATGTGTGTGTGTGTGTGTCACAGTAGGTACACGTGTGTGTGTGTGTGTGTCACAGTAGGTACACGTGTGTGTGTCACAGTAGGTACACGTGTGCGTGTGTCACAGGAGGTACACGTGTGTGTGTCACAGTAGGTACACGTGTGTGTGTCACAGTAGGTACACGTGTGTGTGTCACAATAGGTACATATGTGTGTGTGTCACAGCAGGTACACGTGTGTGTGTCACAGCAGGTACACGTGTGTGTGTGTGTGTGTCACAGCAGGTACACGTGTGTGTGTGTGTGTCACAGTAGGTACACGTGTGTATGTGTCACAGTAGGTACACGTGTGTGTGTGTGTGTCACAGTAGGTACACGTGTGTGTGTGTCATAGAAGGTACACGTGTGTGTGTGTGTCACAGTAGGTACACGTGTGTGTGTGTGTGACAGCAGGTACACGTGTGTGTGTGTGTCACGGTAGGTACACGTGTGTGTGTGTCACAGTAGGTACACGTGTGTGTGTGTCACAGCAGGTACGTATGTGTGTGTGTCACAGCAGGTACACGTGTGTGTGTGTGTCACAGCAGGTACACGTGTGTGTGTGATTGACAGCTGGTACACGTGTGTGTGTGTGTGTGATTGACAGCTGGTACATGTGTGTGTGTGTGTGTGTCACAGTAGGTACACGTGTGTGTGTGTGTCACAGTAGGTACACGTGTGTGTGTGTGTGTCACAGTAGATACACGTGTGTGTGTGTGTCACAGCAGGTACACGTGTGTGTGTGTCACAGCAGGTACACGTGTGTGTGTGTGTCACAGTAAGTACACGTGTGTGTGTGTGTCACAGTAGGTACACGTGTGTGTGTGTGTCACAGCAGGTACACGTGTGTGTGTGTCACAGTAGGTACACGTGTGTGTGTGTGTCACAGCAGGTACACGTGTGTGTGTCACAGCAGGTACACGTGTGTGTGTGTGTGTGTCACAGTAGGTACACGTGTGTGTGTGTGTGTCACAGCAGGTACACGTGTGTGTGTGTGTGACAGTATGTACACGTGTGTGTGTCACAGCAGGTACACGTGTGTGTGTGTGTGTCACAGTAGGTACACGTGTGTGTGTGTCACAGCTGGTACACGTGTGTGTGTCACAGTAGGTACACGTGTGTGTGTGTCACAGCAGGTACACGTGTGTGTGTGTCACAGCTGGTACACGTGTGTGTGTGTGTCACAGCTGGTACACGTGTGTGTGTGTGTGTGTCACAGTAGGTACACGTGTGTGTGTGTCACAGTAGGTACACGTGTGTGTGTGTCACAGCAGGTACACGTGTGTGTGTGTGTCACAGCAGGTACACGTGTGTGTGTGTCACAGCATGTACACGTGTGTGTGTGTGTCACAGCATGTACACGTGTGTGTGTGTCACAGCAGGTACACGTGTGTGTGTGTCACAGCATGTACACGTGTGTGCGTGTGTGTCACAGCATGTACACGTGTGTGTGTGTGTCACATCATGTACACGTGTGTGTGTGTGTCACAGCAGCTACACATGTGTGTGTGTGTCACAGCAGGTACACGTGTGTGTGTGATTGACAGCTGGTACACGTGTGTATAACAGCAGGTAGCCGTGTGTGTTTCAGCGTGTGTGAGTGTAATCACGTGTGTGTGACTATGAGTGTGGATGTTTCACTGCGATTGTGTAGCAACTACGCGCGTCCTCTCTGTGTCAGGCAAACGCGGGCAGGTGTGCGTGTGTGAAACAAACGAGACGGAACAATGCAAACGAAAAATACTACAAAAGAGACAGACAATACAATAGAGACATAACAATACCATCGAGACAGAACAATACAATCGGAACAGAACAATATAATCGAGACCGAACAATACAAACGAGATACATTTCGATGTAAAGCTTTCGTGACTGTAGGGATTCATATTCTTGGTTCTTTCGGTAAAGTGACGTAGAAGGGAAATAATACAATAATAAATAGTTAAACATCATACAATTCTCACGACGTTTCGGCCACAACGCAAGCAGCCGTCCTCAGGTGAAGAACAGGGCTGTCGGAAAGACAGCGTCCTTAGCAGTGTTCATTAGGACGCTGTCTTTCCGACAGACGCTGTTCTTCACCTGACGACGGCTTCTTGCGTTGTGGCCGAAACGTCGTGAGAATTAAATTATGTTTAATATTTATATTATTTTATTGTTTCACTTCTACGTGACTTCACCGAAAGAAACAAGAATACAAACAAGATGGTCAATACAATCGAGATGAGAAAATACAAAGTTAACAGAATAATACAAAGTAGACAGAATAATACAAATGAGGCAGAACAAAACGAGGCAGGGCTACCAGAGTGAATGGGATGTATGTATGTTGAACTTTGTTTGCACCATACGTAGCCAAACATGCTAATAAAAGGTGCGGGGGACGGTCAACAAACCTAAAGCAGTTCTAAAGAAATTCGTTTTCAATCGAGATTTAGCAGCTCCAATGGCTTCCTAAAATTGGGTGGAAGAGCGTTTCAGACAGCTGCAAAAGCACATCTGAGAGCGCTGCGAAGATGAGCGGATCTTCCTGGTTCTTTCGGTAAAGTCACGTAGAAGGGAAGTAATAAAATAATAAAAATAAAACTTAATTAAATAATTCTCACGACGTTTCGGCCACAACGCAAGCAGCCGTCCTCAGGTGAAGAGGTAAAGTCACGTAGAAGGGAAGTAATAAAAATAAAACACAATAAAATAATTCTCACGACGTTTCGGCCACAACGCAAGCAGCCGTCCTCAGGTGCAGAATGAAACATTCGTTCTTCACCCGAAGACGGTTGCTTGCGTTATTTTATTTTTACTATGTTTTATTTTTATTATTTTATTATTTCCCTTCTACGTGACTTCACCGAAAGAACCAGGAAGATGAATCCCTGCAGTCACGTTGTGTGTAATGAGTGTAGCCTCGTTCTCCCGCAGTTGAAGGGCGCTTCAAGTTCGTGCGCGAGGGGGTAGAGACGGCTGCTGTTTCCCAGAAACTCTTTCCAGTGAGGACCTTCCTGGAAACGTTTGAGGTCACAGGAGATAACCGCGTGGTGTTGGTGATGGTGGTGGCGAGTATCTGAACACGGTCCTGGGTTTTTCCTAGGTCGACCCAGCCTCAAATGAGTACCTGGAGTGGTGTGTAAACATCGCAACTTTTTTTAGAGACAAAGGCGGCCAGGGGTGGTGCCGGCCACTCCACCACCTCGTGTACCGTGCCGACCTTCTTCGTAGGTGCTACTCTCTAACAGCACTTGCCCCAACAGTCTGTTTGAGGCTATACGGGGAATCTTTGTCTTTCGTAGCGATGATGGTGGTGGTGGATGCAATTGTAATTGTCTGTGCAGACGGCGATCAAGAAACGCGGGACTGGCGCCGCGAGACTCGATTTCTCGAGCACACATTGTTTTCTTGGGATTATATTATTCTGGGATGCTATTGTTATCCCGAGAGTATCTTGGGGCGCCACGGTGGCTAAGAGATGTTAACTACTTCGCCTGGTATACAGGAAGTCGTGGCTTCGATTCCGACCCCAACGCCTGCTGTATATTGGGAGTTTGCGTGTTCTCTCTCTCTCTAACCGTGGTCATGTGGATTTTTCTCGGACATTTTGAAAATGCGTTTATGTCATTTGGCTGCTATAAATATGCATGTGATAAGCCACTTCGTGGGCTATCATTTGTGGCCAGGTCGCTTCTGAAAAAGAGATATACAGCTCAGTAGGTCTTACCTGGTAAAATAAAAATAGTTTACCGATTAGTTTGTTGTCTTGGGACTAAATTGTTTTTATTGCCTTGAGATTTACTCGTTTTAAGGATTACATTTTTTCTAGATTATTTTGTTATCTTGAGATGTCATTGTCTAGTGATCATATTGTTGTCTTGGGATTTTCTCATTTCTTGAGATGCTATTGTCTTAGACATCTATTGTTGTCTTGAAACGTTTAGCGCATGGCAAGTTTGTGTAAACTACACGTCCAGGTTGAAGTTTGTGAGCCACTCTCGAAAAGCTTCAGGAGTAGCGTGACTAATGTCATCCGTCTTCTTGGTTCTTTCGGTAAAGTCACGTAGAAGGGAAATAATAAAATAATAAAAATAAAACATAATAAAATAATTCTCACGACGTTTCGGCCACAACGCAAGCAGCCGTCCTCAGGTGAAGAACAGGAAGAACAGGTCTGTCGGAAAGACAGCGTCCTTAGCAGTGTTCATTATGACGCTGTCTTTCCGACAGCCCTGTTCTTCACCTGAGGACGGCTGCTTGCGTTGTGGCCAAAACGTCGTGAGAATTAAATAATGTTTTATTATTTATTATTTTATTATTTTCCTTCTACGTGACTTTACCGAAAGAACCAAGAAGGTGAATCACTGCAGTCACGAAAGCTTTAAATCGAAATTTAATGTCATCCGGTCCGCCGGAAAGCGGGCCTAGTAGACCGATCCAGCAGTTCACGGTTTGGTACTTTGTCAGGTTCCCGTGGCCACAGGGCCCTGCACCGTGGGCCCCCATCTGTGACGTCCCAATCGCGCAAGAGGCCTGCGCAGCGGCGAGAGCGTTCACCGCCCCGGAGTGGTTGACGATTGCATCCACCACGGGTTTCTTGGCCGATCCAGAGCCATTGGCAACCTCGGCAGGACTCCACCGCAGCATTTGCAAGCGCTCCCCAGTTGACCCCCACTTAGTCCAATTGTCTCGCCCCGCCGACCCCAGATTGGGTTCATGGAGGGGTCGAGCCGGTCACCTTGGTGGTAACGAGAGGTCCGTCCTTCCTCAGATTGTTTCGCAGTTAGTTGAATTTCGTGCATCCTGTTGTTGTCTTGCTGAAATTCTATTGTTGACCTTAGATTCAATTGTCTTGGGATTATATTGCTGTCTTGAGTTTCTATTGTCATCTTGATATTCTATTGTCTTGATATGCTATTGTTTTTTTAGATTATATTGTCATCTCGGGATTCTATTGTTGATATAATGCTCTTTTATTATCTCGAGACACAATTCTTTTCTTCAGAATCTAATGTTTTCTACACGTGTATCCATGAGAGGTAAAAGAGTGAAGTATTTGCTTTCCTGACCCCTAACCCCGTTCCTTTAACCCCCCCCCCACTCCTTCTCAAGCAGCTGCCATGGCGGGCGTTGCCACTCTGGGCTATGTGAGCGACGCTTCAAGCGACGGGGGCTCGGGATTGGACGAGGCCGACAACGAGGTGCGCAACCTCACGTCACGAACCTTCAAGCGCATCACCACGCCCATCTCCTCCTGCGGCGACGAGACCACGCCCACACCCTGTGACGTCACATCCTACGACGCTGACGAGGCTGCCACGCCCACCCCGTGCGATGGGAAGGCCCTGACCACGCCAGGCCAGGAACCCGACAAATGGCCGACGTACGTGGAGCTGGGCATCTGGAGGAAGACCCAGCATGCAGCGGCGCGTGCCAGCACCGCCCTGCTGATGTCGCACAACGGCCAGCAACAATCCGCACGCCGCACCACCACCACTACCAGCACGACCCAGCAGCAGTCTGCCAAACTGCACACCGCCACCACCACCACCACGACCAAGTCTGTGCACACGGCGATCAAGATAGCGCACCACAGCACCACACACACTGCCGGTTCGTACCAGAGCACCGCACACACCGCTGACCCACAGAACGGCTTCACGCACAGCACCGGCTCACAGCAGAACACCGCTCACACTGCCGGCTCACACCAGGGCCCGCTGCACGCCGCACCCAGGAACAACACGGGGGGTCCCACCGTGGCCGCTAATACAAAACACAGCCCGCACACCATCAGCACCACACTTGGCAAGAGAGGGGGGTCCGGCCAGCGCTCCCACCACCGGCACCCGAAACGCAGCCATGCACACGTCCCACTCAGCACTCGCAGCCACCAGCAGCAGCTCCACCACATCGCCACTCGCCAAACCGCACTCCCCAGCCACACAAGCCGGCAACCCGCACTACACTGCGCCCGCTGTCACGAACAGAACTTTCAAGCATCAGACGTCGGGCAGCACGACCAGCGTAGACACCAGCACACGTGCCAGCTCCCGTTCCATCACACACACCTTTTCAAACGGCAGTACGCTTAATGCTGCCACCACACCCAACTTTAAAAACGCCACGTACAGGCAGCAACCGTCGGGCAGTTCCACTGGAGCACACACCATCGTCTCAAACGCCAGTACACTCGCCGGCACAGACACCGGCACGCCAAAAGCTGCCACAGCCATCTTTACCAACGGCATATCCAAGCAGCAGACATCAGGCAGCGTGGTCGGTGTGCACACCAGCTCGCCCACTGTCTCAACCGGCGACACGCATTCCGGGTCACACCCCACAGGCAGTCCATCTCACGGGGCTCAGCTTGGCGTCGAGGGTGGCAGTGGCGGCAACAGCAGTGGCCGAGGCGGAAGCCGTGGTGGAGGTCGTGGTGGAGGGCGCGGTGGAGGCCGCGGTGGCGGTGGTGGAGGCCCCGTGCGATACATGGTGGCTGGGTTCCGCTTGCTGTGCCGAGCCGAGAGCCCGCCCGATGACTCCAAAGACCCCGAGGGGGCACTCGGGGTTGCAGGGGGCGGCGGCGTTTCGACTGAGCAGAGCCCAGGGCTGGACAAAATCAAGGGGTCGGCCAGTGCAAATCGGGCGTCAGTGGTGGAGGAAGCCAGCGGCATAGGGGAGGACGTGACGACGCGGGAGAGGGTGGGAGAGTCATGGGGGCGTCGGTGGAGCGAGGGGGGGGCAGCGGACAAGAGGCTCAAAGCAGCACGGCCGCTGAGTTGCGGCACAGAGCAGCCCGCCATCTCACGCTCGATCGGTGCGCGCCGATCGTCGGACAGTGGCCCCTGCGTGCCGGCACCAGCGAGCACAGCAGTGGAGGAGCCGCCAGGCCTGAGCGGCGTGGTTCGTAGCGGCGGCGGCGCCGCCGGCGGGAGTCCACACTCGGGCGCCGGTTCTTGCTGCGGCCCCGACAAGAGGGCGCTCGACGCCGGGGCGGTGAGACCGCTGCCCAAGACGCAAAGGAGCGAGACGAAGGGCGGGGCGTCCGTGTCGGGGGGCGGCAGGGGCAGGGAGAAGGAGGGCGAAGCCAAAGTGGAGGCCGAGGTGGAGGAGGTAGCGCGAGCGAGCAGCCACCTGAGCAATGTCATCGGGAGGCACATGCGCCTGGAGCGGAGCCTGAGCGAGGGTGCCGACTCGCGGAGCACGGGGCCGGTGGAGACCATGGGCCCACTGGATCCAGGGAGCTCCACCCACCCCCTGCTGACCGGCACGCTCGCCCCAGCCGCTGGGAAAATCACTCCATCCGACATGGACCACTGGAAGATTTACTTGGACACCGACGACGACGAAGAAGAGGTTTTCGAGGCGTGTGAAGACAGGAGTGTGGGCCCTGGCGGAGCTGCCCCAGCCGGGCACTGTGACTCCCAGGAGCCGGCGTTTGAGGAGGAGGTGGCCACCATGAACAACGACGCGGAGCTGGAGGTTCGGCTCGCCGAGGCGATGGCGCTTGGAGCGGCCGCTGTCGGCAGTTGGGACATGATGCCCACGCCGGGGGGCGCTCGCGTGGATGTGGAAGGGGACGAGAGTGGTGCCGCGTGGATGACCTCGGAAGCGGGAGTCCGCCCCGGTGTGGAACAAATTGGGGGCTCGTTCGGGTCAAAGAGAAGGAAAAGACGCAGTGCGAGCAGCACGAGGCCCTCGGCACCATTGTCGGCGGCCGGGGATATGAGGGTTGGCAACAGGGCCCAGGGCTGGGCCCAGGACATAGCGCGCCTCCTGACGCCGAATCTCGGGGACAAGGAGAAGGCCAATGAGGACAGGGGCTGCGAGAGGGGCAGGGAGAGGGGCAGGGAGAGGGGCAGGGGCAGAGAGAGAGAAGAGAATGTGCATGCACGGAGGGCTGTGTCCCTAGACTGCCTGCCCAACACGAGAGCACGGGAGCGTGAACACGAGAGGGAGAAGCAGAAAGAACGAGAGAAGCAGAGGAGGAAAGCGCAAGAGCACGTCAAAAAGGAGAGGGAGATGGAAAGACATCAGGAGCAGCAGAGGGAGCGGGAACGGGAGCGAGCGAAGGAATGGGAGAGGGAACGGCAGCAGGATCGCGAGCACCGCCGCGCAGCGCTCGGCAAGCTCAACGAAGCCGTGCGGGCGCTCGAGACGAAGCTGGCGCTGAAGACGCGTGGACCGGGCCCTGCGAGCACCGCCGCCTCCTCCACCGCACCCACGTCTCCCGGCTGTGGCTCCGAACCATCTCGGCGAGAACCCAGCGCCAAAGTGCCACCGTCTGGGCCTACGTCTGGGCCAAACTACTCCTCCCCCTCGCCCAACGCCTCCGTGCCCCATCCCGTAGCGGCTGCTGAGAAAACGGCGCCTGCCAAGGCCCCGGCGGGCGATGCCATAACTGGTCACGTGGGTGGGCGGGCGCGCCTAGCCCGGTCGCTGTCCGCGGGAACGCCGTCGCCAGGGGAGCCAGTGGCCTGGCCACGGGACCAAGCACATTCGCGGCCACCCAGTTTTCGTTCCGTGCTGCCGCCTTCGGCAAAGGCCAAGACCGCCTCCGGGACGTCCGGGGTGACCGGGGTGACGGGGGTGACCGGGGTGACCGGGGTGACGGGCGAGGCGGCCGCAAGCGCAGGAAATGAGGAGAAGAGCGGAGGGCGGGATGTCACACGGGGGCCCGAGGGGGCTAGAGGAGAGGATGCCAGCGACGGCTACTTCACCATGTCGCCTCGCCGACCCAAGCAGCAGGAGGCTCAGCAGGAGCTTCCGATGAAGCTAGATGCGCCGCAGCAGCAGCAGCAAAAGCAGCAGCAGCAGGCCAAGGTTCAGCCGCCATCCTCGCTGCTGTCTAAAGCACAGCACAAGCCGGGCCCACAGAAGATGACGCAGTCACAAAAACCACCAGATCAGAAGCAAGAGCAGACAGCACAGGCACCAGATAAATCCCTGCTGTGGCAGAGGAGAACCCAGGCTCAAGCACAAGCGACCACGCGGCCACCGGCGGTGGCGCAACCACCCAAGCCACCGACTCAGCTGCAGACACAGCCAAACAGAGCGCAACAGCCACCAGACAGACAGCAGAGCCAGACGAATGCCACCAAGCAGACACAACCAGACAGGGACCCACAGCTTAGCCGCCAGCAACCGGTGCAGCAGCAACAGCTGCACATTGGACAGCCACAAGAACCGACACAAGCACCACAACCACAAAATTTGCAACTGCAGAGACAGCCACAGTCTGAGCCTCCGTTTCCACAACCGATGCATCTGATGCAACAGGAACTACCGCAGCCAATTGCACAACAGCCGATGCAACAACAACCTACGCAACAACAGCTGATGCAACAGCTGATGCAACAACAGCCGATGCAACAACAGCAGCTGATGCAGCAACAACAGCTGATGCAGCAACAGCAGCTGATGCAACAACAGCCTACGCAACAACAGCCGATGCAACAACAGCTGATGCAACAACAGCTGATGCAGCAACAGCTGATGCAACAACAGCAGGCGATGCAACAGCAGCCTACGCAACAGCAGCAGATGCAACAGCAGCTGATGCAACAGCAGGCGATGCAACAGCAGCCTACGCAACAGCAGCAGATGCAACAGCAGCTGATGCAACAGCAGCAGGCGCTGGCTCACATGGCACCGCAGTACCCGTACATGATGATGCCGCAGGATGTGTCCTCACAGGCCATGATGATGTCACAGCTGATGGCGCCACTGATGGCTCCATACACAACGGCCCAACCGGAGACAACGGCGGTGGCACCGCCAACGCCGGAGCCGGTGCCACCGCCGTCCGCGGCGCTTGCACCGCACGCGCCCGGCACCCCGCCGCGACCTCCCATGTCTCCGGAGCCGATGATGATGATGTCGCCGGAGGCCGCGTCCCAGGCGGCGATGGCGGCGCGGCAGATGATGATGTCCACCATGATGATGATGATGATGGCCAATCCGGCCATGATGCAGTTCCAGCAGGGAGCGATGCCCTCATTCATGCCGGGCCACCTAATGACGTACCCGGCCGGTGGCCCCCCCGCCATGTTGTACCCAATGAGCGGCGCGCCGCAGTTCCCGGCGGGCGCAATGATGCCCTACCCGGCGGCGTACGGGGTGCCCCAGTTCCCCCCCGCGTTTGCACCAAACCCCACGGCGCCAGCGTACCCGCAGCCGGGCCAGTACAAGGCAACGCCCGTGACGGACACCACCCCGCCGAGCCCGACCGCCAAGCACCCGTGGGAGGCTCCCTACTTTGTCCCGTCGGGGACCCAGCCCAGCTCCCCAACGGGGGCCTTCTCTTACCAGAATGGCAGTCACTGATGGCTAACGACGGCAACGCCTTGTCTGTAGGTGTGACTACCTCCCCCACCCCTCCCCTCCCACCACTTGGAGGGGCATGTGGAGGCTTTGTGCACCGGCCGGTGGCTCTTCGCCACAAGAGGATGCGGCCGCTGAGCTTCGGCTGTACCTGCCGTGGCCTCAGTGCGGCCCCTAGCAAGGCCATAGGGGGGAGGGCCGGCTCCCAAAAGCCACCGCTCGCTTCACACCCATGCAGATTCTACTAGAGCTTTCCTCGTGTCGCCACTGTGCGCCGATACCGTTGCTTTTCTGTGGGTAATGATACAATCCGTTGCACCGCACGCAAGTCCCAGTGCCGTCGCCATTATCACCATTGAGTCCCACAGCCGTGCATCCCCATTGTGGCTGTAATTGCGTAGACAGTGTGTGGGGGCGTGGTGGTGGGGGGTGGGGTTAGAAAACAAACGAGGGCAACTTTTCTTCTGGTCTGGGCCTCCTTGGTACGGAGCCAATCGATTGACGTACTAATTTCTCAATGAGTTAAATTTACGACACGTATCGATAATGCACTTGCGTGCAAATGTTAAACCGTAATTAAAATCAAATGACTTTCAAAATAAATCTGTCATCTTGGCCAATGTGAATTACAACTAAGGTTAAAGAGTTTTCAATCTAGATGATTTAAAAGTGCATATCTCCAGTGGCTTCCTAATATCGGAACAGCGTTCCAGACGGCCGCAGAAGCGCATCCAAAAGTGCGTTATGCAGTGACCATCTTTGTTCGATGGCTCGCCAAAAGCCGCTGCAAGGATGACCGGAGTTCGCGTGATGGGTTATGTTCCTTGACGAGACCAGCATGGTATTGTGGTTCATTTGTGGCAAAGTACTTTGTGTGTAATGAGTGCGACCTTATAATGTGTTCGTTCAGCAACCAGAAGCCAATGCAGCTCAGCGAGCACCGGACAGACATGGTCAGGTCTTGCAGTACCCGTCGCGACAGGCGCCAAATCATTTTGTACGCGCTGCAGCTTGGTAACGTTTTTGCCAGACGTCCAGTAGAGTAGTGAGTTGCAATAATCGAGCCTCGTCGATACCATGCTACACGCCACCGTGTTGGTTATGTCACGACTCAATAGAGGTCGAACATGTCATGAAGTCCTAAAATGTAAATCGCAGGACCTGACGACATTTTGCACGTGGCGATCAAACGACATGTTCTGGTCGAGAATGGTGCCGAGGCTCTTTAGATGAGTAGAAAACTGAATCCTGGAGTCTGCGACTGCCACACCCGGTCCTCCCACACTGTTTTTGAAAGTAGATGATGTCAAACTCCCCGCAGAGGTCCACACTCACTTTTTTCTAACAGGGAGTTGGGGCCTGCGCCTAACAGACTCAGGGCCTTGGCCTTGTGACTCCGCACCTCGAATCAGTTTAGACAGAGTGCCTCTATATGTATGAGCAAATGTAGTTCGACACAGTGTCTGGGTCATGATCATCATCATCTGTCTCTTCCATCGGTTCATTCGTGGTAATGGTACCCAATAATTCCTTTCACCGGTCTCTCTCTTGAGCCAATGATGCTGCTTCGTTCAGCCTCAATGTTTTCTCTTCTATATATTTTACTGCTGGATCTATCCCGAACCTGGATTCATGCTGTCCCCCCCCAATCTCCTCTTCCACTTATTACAATAGTGACGATGTTTAGTTTTACATAGAATCGTTCATGCAAATCGCATCTCTCACAATTTCCGAGGAACCACAGTAAAGCTGTAAGGCAGCAGCAGCAGCAGCTTAGCAGTTAGGAGGCGGCGCTACCAACCATCGCCAGAGCTCTGCGGGCCTCAATATGTTGTACGGATGGATGCAATGGCGGAGCCAGGATTTTCAGGTAGGGGGGGCAACCCCTCCAGCCATGAAACATGATAGAGTTGTTAGTAAGGACTTGCTCATGGCTTTTTACTCGACGCGTGTGCGGCGATGGTTCAGCCATCGATCGAGGGTCTAATTCGAACCGCGTTGTGTGATCGGCATCGCGCTCGCTGAAGGTGAATGCCTTCAGGGAAGTCGTGTACTGTATCCGCTACTGCGCAGAATTCTGTGAGCCACTTATAACCGCTTTGCCGTTACCTATTGCCAATTATGTACTCAGACTATTGTCCTATCATCTGATAGCTTCCCTGGCACATAATAATATGCTACACAGTGGCAGTGGGGGTTGTCGATTTATCACTAATAAACCCCAATGATCCAATCTATCGGATCATTGGGGGGGGGGGGGCACGTGCCACCCCACCACCCCCTAGCTCCGCCAGTGTATGTATGTTTAACTTCTTTCGCACCGTACGTAGCCAACCGTGCTAACTGGAAGTGTTCTCCCGTGTCCGAACCCCTGCGATATTCTCTCCGTGACTTTGTCTCTGGAGGTTCAACTCTTAACTGGTTTCTAACCTGGGGCCCGTAAGAACTTGAATAATTATCCAGTGAGCTTTTGGCACCGACACTTTGCGATGCTTGCTCAGGGCTGCGTGGGCGGCTCCTGGATCATTTGAGAAGTTACAGCATCTGCTGCTATTGCTGCTGCTGCTGTTGCTACCCCTGCCGCTAGACCCTAAATTAGGCTCGTGTATGTCGTGCTAGTGCAACTTGTCAACACCACAATTATGGCACGACATCAACTTGTACGAGTGGTGGGAGTCCGCTGTCCAACCGGGATAAAGGCCAACGGGGCGGGCGGGTGAGTGGGTAAGCAGGTGAGTGGGCGGGCGGGCGGGCAAGTGATTTGGCAGGTGAATGGTGGGGCAGGTGAGCGAGCGGGTGAGAAGGTGAGCTGCTTCGGGGGCCGGTGAGTAGGCGGAGCGTGCGCTCGCTAAGAGTTGCGCGGCGAAGGAGAAGAGGATGGTGATGCGATGTGTGTGGGGTAGGGGAAGAAAGCACGTGGCAGCAAATCCACTGCTCGCGTATATGTGAACACACACACACACGTTGCACACACACACACGTTGCACACACACACGTTGCACACACACGCACGTTACACACACACACACACGTTACGCACAGATATACGCGCGCGACACGCGTGCTTGTTACGTGTTAAGTGATGCTGTCCCGGGTGATTAAACGAGAATTGTATTAAAATGATGGCTTCACGTCTCCCTGTCTCTGTGCGCATATCGTATGTAACTTCGACTTGTAACGCGCCCCAGTCTCCGCTCATCGATCTCGTAGAGAGAGGGAACGACTTAGGGAGGCGCCAGGGTGGAGGAAGCCAACAATTTTCGCCAAGCTCTGCCATCCTCTACATATGATTAATGAACATTGGCGTGTGTGAGCAAACCAGCGCACATTGAGAAAACCCACGAGTGCGAGCTGGGTAACGCTCTTATCCCACACGGACGGAATGTGTGAGGTCCGCGTTTGCTGTACTGCCTTGTTGGTAAGCCATGGTTTCGGCACGGGGAAACACGGACGAGCATCAGCATCAGCAGCATCAGCAGCAGCAGCAGCATCAGCAGCATCAGCAGCATCAGCAGCAGCAGCATCAGCAGCAGCATCAGCAGCAGCCGCATCAGCAGCAGCAGCAGCAACAGCCACAGCAGCATCAGCAGCATCAGCAGCAGCAGCAGGATCAGCAGCATCAGCAGCAGCATCAGCAGCAGCAGCATCAGCAGCATCAGCAGCAGCAGCATCAACAGCATCAGCAGCATCAGCAGCATCAGCATCAGCAGCATCATCAGCATCATCAGCAGCAGCATCAGCAGCAGCATTATCAGCATCAGCAGCAGCAGCATCAGCAGCATCAGCAGCAGCAGCAGCATCAGCAGCATCAGCAGCAGCAGCATCATCAGCAGCAGCATCAGCAGCAGCCGCCGGTATCCTGGCCACGCGGCCCAGGCGGCCGAGGCGGGGCTGCTGGCCCTTGGATGTGATTGAAGTGCCGTGGAAACTTGGCGAGACAGCCCATGGCAGCTGCATGTTCACGTGACTTGCTGACAACCACCACAGCCACCACCATCGCAACCACCTTCACAACAGCCACAATCACAACCACCACAGCCATCACCATCGCAACCACCTTCACAACAAGCACCACCACAGTCACAAGCACCACTATCACAACCACCTCCACAACACCCACAATCACAACCACCACTATCACCACCACCATCACAACCACCTTCACGACAACCACCACCATCACAAGCACCTCCACAACAACCACAATCACCTCCACAACAACCACCACCATCACAACCACCATCGCAACCACCTTCACAACAGCCACAATCACAACCACCACAGCCATCACCATCGCAACCACCTTCTCAACACCCACAACCACCACTATCACCACCACCATCATAACCACCTCCACGACAACCACCACCATCACAACCACCTCCACAACACCCACAATCACCTCCACAACAACCACCACCATCGCAACCACCTTCACCATATATCAACCACCACCATCACAACCACCTCCACAACACCCACAATCACAATCACCTCCACAACAACCACCACCATCACAACCACCATCACAAGCACCTCCACAACACGCACAATCACAACCACCACTATCACCACCACCACCAACACCATAACCACAACTAACACCATAACCACAACCATCACAGCCACCACCAAAGACAAAAATCAAAGATCCCCCCCCGTTTAGCCTTTACAGACTCATATTCTTAGGTTTTTTCGGTAAAGTGTACGTAGGTAAAACATCAAAATTAATAAAAATTAAATAAAGATCACGACGTTTCGGAGGCAACACAAGTCTCCGTCATCAGGTGGAACCTTTACAGACTGTTGGGGCAAGTGCTGTTAGCGAGCACATTATACAGGTCGGTACGGCACCGCGCCCGGCCGCCTTTGTCTCCCTAGTGGCGATGTTTACACATCTCACCAGGTACTCGTTTAGACTGAGTTGAGCTCAAAGCTGATTCAGATAATCGTCGCTGGTGTTGGTGACCGTGATCGGGAATCGAACGGTGTCTACCGGCAGTGCGCTAACCACTGCACTACCGCTCCCCAACACAATGCAGTACCCACCCCCCCTCGTCCCACACTACCAAAATAGCAACACTCACACACCAAGGCAAAAATCCCCCGATAGCCTTAACATACTGTGGGGGCAAGTGCTGTTAGCGAGGAGCACCTATGAAGGCCGGCACGGCACACGAGGGGGTCGGTGGCCAACATCACGCCCGGCCGCCTTTGTCTCCCCGGTGACGATGTGTTTACACACCGCACCAGGTACTCGTTTGAAGCTGAGTCGACCTAGGGGAGGCCCAGAACTGGTTCAGATAATCGCTACTAGTGTTGGCCGTGAGCGGGAATCGAACTCGGGTGGCTGGGTTCGTAGCGCAGCGCGCTAACCACTACACCACCGCTCCCCACAAACTCACACAAAGACAATACCACACACACACTAACGTTAGAAGCACACTAACAAAATACCATACACACAACACCATACACAATACCACACACACAATACCACACACCAACGTGAGAAGCACACTAACACAATACCATACACACAACACCATGCACAATACCACACACACACAATACCACACACACACACCAACATAAGAACCACATTAACACAATACCATACACACAACACCATACACAATACCACACACACACAATACCACACTCACACATTAACATAATAGCACACACACACATACACACTGCAACACACAAAAACAATATCACACAGTGCCAAACGCACCCAAAGACAAATATCCCCCGTATAGCCTCGAACAGACTGATGGGACAAGTGCTGTTAGCGAGCACCTTTAAAGGCCGGAACAATATACGAGGGGGTGGATGGCCAACACCACGCCCGACCGCCTTTGTCTCCCCAGTGGCGATTTTTACACACCACACCAGGTACTCATTTGAAGCTGAGTCGACCTAGGGGAGGCCCAGGACCGGTTCAAATAATCGTCACTGGTGTTGGCCGTGAGCGAGAATCGAACTCACACACACACACACAACACGCACACACAACATGCACACACACACAACATGCACACACACACAATAGCACACACACACAATAGCACACATACACAATAGCACACACACAATAGCACACATACCATGCACACACACACTAGCACACATACACAATAGCACACACACAATAGCACACACACAATAGCACACACACAATAGCACACATACCATGCACACACACACACTAGCACACACACAGTGACACACGCACCCACACACACGCGTCTCGCCCGACTGCACGGAGTTCAGAATGGCCTCACAACCTCATGGGCAGGCACTCGCCATCATCACCACCACTATCATCACCATCACCACCACTATCATCACCACCATCACCATCACCACCACCACTATCACCACCACTATCATCACCATCACCACCATCACCATCATCACCATCACCACCACTATCATCACCACCACCACCACTATCATCACCATCACTACCACTATCATCACCACCATCACCATCACCACCACCACCACTATCACAACCACTATCATCACCACCATCACCACCACTATCATCACCACCACTACCACCACTATCATCACCCTCACCACCATCACCACCATCACCACCACTATCACCACTATCACCACTATCATCATCACCATCACCACCATCACCACCACTATCATCACCACCACTACCACCACTATCATCACCACCATCACCACCACTATCATCACCACCATCACCACCACTATCATCACCATCACTTCCAGCACCACCACTATCATCACCACCACTATCATCACCACCACTATCATCACCACCACTACCAGCACCACCACTATCATCACCACCATCACCACCACTATCATCACCACCACTACCAGCACCACCACTATCATCACCACCACCACCATCACCACCACAACTATCATCACCACCATTACCATCACCACCACTATCATCACCACCACTATCATCACCACCACCACCATCATCACCACTATCATCACCACCACGACCATCACCATCACCACCACTACCAGCACCACCACTACCAGCACCATCACCACTATCATCACCACCACTACCGGCACCATCACCACTACTATCACCATCACTATCACACCACCACCACGATCACCACCACCACTATCATCACCACCACCACCACTATCATCACCACCACCACCATCATCACCACCACTATCATCACCACCACTACCAGCACCATCACCACCACTATCATCACTACCACCACCATCACCACCACCACTATCATCACCACCACGACCATTATCGCCGTCGCCACTATCATCACCACTATCTCAGACATATATTCCCCATATAGCCTTTAACCGACTATTAGAGCAAGTTATGTTAATGAAGGCCGGCATGACACACGAGGGGGTGGGTGGCCAACACCACGGCGGACCGCCTTTGTCTCCCTAGTGGCGATGTTTACTACACTACACCGCACCAGGTACTCATTTCAGGTTGAGTCGACCTCGACGAGACCCAAGACCGGTTCAGATCATCGCCACTGGGTGTTGGGCGTGAGCGAGAATACAACTCGGGTGGCAGGGGTTCGTAGTGCAGCGCGCTAAGTACTGCGCCACCGCTCCCCATCACTAGCATCAACCACCATAATCTCCATAAACAACACCAAAGATCCCCCGTGTAGCCTTAACAGACTGTAGGAGCAAGTGCTCCCACCAACTCCAACCATCACCCACCCCGCCAGCAGCAGCAGTCGTGGGTGCTGTGGGGGGCGTGTGAGTGAGGGCCGCGTTGCATGGCCGCGTCTCGCTCCCCCAGTTCCATTGATATGTTAATGAGCCCCACCCCACACCACCCCCCACACACACCATACACCACCACACACCATACACCACCCCACCCACACCATATACCACACACAGAACCCACACCATCCCCGCATACACCCCACCCAACCCCCCACACACCCCACACACACCCCAAACATACCCCACACCACGCCACACCCTCCACACACACCCCACCCCACCACACCCCCACACCACACCCTCTACACACACCCCACCACACCACCCCCCACACATACCCCCACACCACGCCACACCCCACCACACCCCTCCACACACACCCCACACCTCACCCCCACACACACCCCTACACCACGCCATACACCCCCCCACCACACCCCCAGACATACCCCACACCACGCCACACCCCCACACCACGCCACACACCACTCCCTCCACACACCACCACACCCTCCACACACACCCCACACACACCTCCACTCCACGTCAAACCCCACACACACCCCCACACACACCCCCCACACATCCCAAACCCCACACCTCCACACCCCCCCCACACACACCCCACACCCCCCACCACGCCCCGACGCCACACCCCCACACCGCCCCACACACACACCCCCACACACCCCACACACACACCCCACCACGCCCCCACGCCACACCCCCACACCGCCCCACACACACCCCTACACTACCACACCCTCCACACACACCCCACCACGCCCCCACGCCACACCCCCACACCGCCCCACACAATGCGAGACGCGCACAGACAAAGGTCCTCCCCCCGTGTAGCGCACGCGGCCTGTCGGGGCAAGAGCTGTTTAGAGAATGCGAGGAGCAGCCACTGAAGACCGCCACGACACCGCAGATAAGGCGGTGGCCTGGCCCCCTGTTGCCTCCCCAGTGATCATGATGATGATGATGAGCTGATGATGATGAGCTGATGATCATGATGATGAGCTGATGATAATGATGATGAGCTGATGATGATGATGATCATAGTGATGATTATGGTGATGATGAGCTGATGATGAGCTGATGATCATGATGATGATCATGGTGATGATGAGCTGATAATGATGAGCTGATGATCATGATGATGATCATGATGATGATCATGATGATGATGAGCTGATAATGATGAGCTGATGATCATGATGATGATGAGCTGATAATGATCATGATGATGATGAGCTGATGATCATGATGATGATGATCATGATGATGATGAGCTGATAATGATGAGCTGATGATCATGATGATGATCATGATGATGATCATGATGATGATGAGCTGATAATGATGAGCTGATGATCATGATCATGATGATGATCATGATGATGATGAGCTGATAATGATCATGATCATGATGATGATCATGATGATGATGAGCTGATGATCATGATGATGATCATGATGAGGATCATGATGACGAGGGTACTAATTACAAAGCTGATAATGATGAGAGTGAAGACCGTGGTGGTGGTGAGCTAATGATGATGGTGCTAATTACGAAGCTGTTCATGATTAGAGTGAAGACCAAGACCATTCGAGTGATGATCGTGGTGGTGATGAGCTAATGATGATGGTGCTAATTACGAAGCTGTTCATGATTAGAGTGAAGACCAAGACCATTCGAGTGAAGATCGTGGTGGTGATGAGCTAATGGTGATGATGATACGTTAGTGATGATGACAGCGAGGATGATGATAATCTGTCGACGATTTCGTAGCTGATGATAATAATTGATCGATCATGAATATGCTGAGATTATATGATCTGATTAATAACGATGAGTTGGTGATAATTAGCAATGGATCTGATTAATAACGATGAGTTGGTGATAATTAGCAATGGGTCTGATTAATAACGATGAGTTGGTGATAATTAGCAATGGATCTGATTAATAACGATGAGTTGGTGATAATTAGCAATTGATGCTGAGAGGATGGTGAGCTGATAATGATGAGATGGTGATGATCGGTTGATGGTAAAGCGATGAGAGTCTGATGATGAAACTATGGCGATGATGGTGAGATGGTGATGATGATGATAGTGTGATGATGATGGCGAGATGGTGATGATGAGATGGTGATGATGATGAGATGGTGATGATGATGGTGATGATGATGAGATGGTGATGATGAGATGGTGATGATGATGACAGTGTGATGGTGATGATGATGAAATGGTGATGATGATGATGACAGTGTGATGGTGATGATGAAATGGTGATGATGATGAGATGATGAGATGGTGATGATGATGGTGATGAGATGGTGATGATGAGATGGTGATGATGATGAGATGGTGGTGATGATGATGATGACAGTGTGATGGCGAAGATGAGATGGTGATGATGATGAGGACAGTGTGATGGTGATGATGAGATGGTGATGGTGATGAGATGGTGATGATGACGATGAGATGGTGATGATGATGACAGTGTGATGGTGATGATGAGATGGTGATGATGAGATGGTGATGATGTGATGGTGATGATGAGATGGTGATGATGATGATGATGTGATGGTGATGATGAGATGGTGATGATGAGATGGTGATGATGAGATGGTGATGATGTGATGACAGTGTGATGGTGATGATGAGATGGTGATGGTGATGAGATGGTGATGATGATGGTAATGATGATGAGATGGTGATGATATGGTGATGATGAGATGGTGATGATGATGACAGTGTGATGGTGATGATGATGGTGATGAGATGGTGATGATGATGATGACAGTGTGATGGTGATAATGCGATGATGAGATGGTGATGATGGTGATGATGATGGTGATGATGACAGTGTGATGATGATGATGGTGATGACAGTGTGATGATGATGATGGTGATGATGATATGATGATGGTGATGAGATTCATGATAATGAGGAGGAGGAGGCGGCTGCGGTTTTCCCGCCAACGTCGAACGTGCGCCGCGGTGACGTCACGAGGCCCCGCCCCGCGCGCGCTGCTCGAGGAGACGACGGAGACAACGCGGGGAGACACAGAGGGGGACACGGGGGGACACGGCAGGGAGACTAAGGGGGGAGACACAGAGGGGGACACGGGGGGACACGGCAGGGAGACTAAGGGGGGAGACACAGAGGGGGACACGGGGGGACACGGCAGGGAGACTAAGGGGGGAGACACAGAGGGGGACACGGGGGGACACGGCAGGGAGACTAAGGGGGGAGACACAGAGGGGGACACGGGGGGGACACGGCAGGGAGACTAAGGGGGGAGACACAGAGGGGGACACGGGGGGACACGGCAGGGAGACTAAGGGGGGAGACTAAGGGGGGAGACTAAGGGGGGACACGGCAGGGAGACACAGCGGGGGGAGACTAAGGGGGGACACAGAGGGGGACACGGCAGGGAGACCACGGGGGACACGGCAGGGAGACTACGGGGAGAGACCACGGAGAGGAGACACCGCGGGGGGAGACACCGCGGGGAGGAGACCGCGGGGAGACACAGCGGGGGGACCACGGGGGGAGACAACGGGGAGACACCGCGGGGAGACACGGTAGGGAGACCACGGGGGGACACTGCGGGGAGACATCGCGGAGAGGAGACACGGGGAGACACCGCCGAGGGGAGAGACCACGGGGGGAGACACGGCGGTGAGATCACGGGGAGGAGACAACGGGGAGACACCGCGGGGGGACATCGCAGGGAGACACCACGGGGGGAGACGGGGAGGTCGCACGGCGGCGAGGAGGAGGAGGAGGAGACGTAGAAGTGGATCGCGTCGTCTGCTCCTCGCGATTTTGTGAAGGCGGCGCCATGAACTCGCCCAGCTGCGCGGCGAGGAGACGCGGCCAGAGAGCGGCGCAGAGGCGGTAAGGGTGGGGGGGTGGTGAGGTGATGGTGGTGATGGGGGTGATGGTGGTGGTGAGGTGATTGTGGTGATGGGGGTGAGGTGATGGTGGTGATGGTGATGAGGTGATGGTGATGAGGTGATGGTGGTGATGGGGGTGGTGATGAGGTGATGGTGGTGATGGGGGTGGTGATGTGATGGTGGTGATGGGGGTGGTGATGAGGTGATGGTGGTGATGGGGGTGGTGATGTGATGGTGGTGATGGGGGTGGGGATGTGATGGTGGTGATGGGGGTGGTGATGAGGTGATGGTGGTGATGGGGGTGGTGATGAGGTGATGGTGGTGATGGGGGTGGTGATGTGATGGTGGTGATGGGGGTGGTGATGAGGTGATGGTGGTGATGGGGGTGGTGATGGGGGTGGTGATGTGATGGTGGTGATGGGGGTGGTGATGAGGTGATGGTGGTGATGGGGGTGGTGATGAGGTGATGGTGGTGATGGGGGTGGTGATGTGATGGTGGTGATGGGGGTGGTGATGTGATGGTGGTGATGGGGGTGGTGATGAGGTGATGGTGGTGATGGGGGTGGTGATGAGGTGATGGTGGTGATGGGGGTGGTGATGAGGTGATGGTGGTGATGGGGGTGGTGATGTGATGGTGGTGATGGGGGTGGTGATGTGATGGTGGTGATGGGGGTGGTGATGAGGTGATGAGGTGATTGGTGATGAGGTGATTGGTGATGAGGTGATGGTGATGAGGTGAGTGGTGATGAGGTGATGGTGGTGATGGGGGTGGTGATGAGGTGATGGGGGTGGTGAGGTGATGGTGGTGATGGGGATGGTTGTGAGGTGGTGATGGGGATGGTGATGGTGGTGATGAGGTGATGGTGGTGATGAGGTGATGGTGGTGATGGGGGTGATGGTGGTGATGGGGGTGATGGGGGTGGTGGTGATGGTTGTGAGGTGGTGATGGGGGTGGTGATGAGGTGATGGTGGTGATGAGGTGATGGTGGTGATGGGGGTGGTGGTGATGGTGGTGGTGATGGTGGTGAGGTAATGGTGGTGAGGTGATGTGGGTGAGGTGATGGTGGTGAGGTGATGGCGGTGATGGGGGATGGTGGTGGTGGTGATGAGGTGATGGTGGTGAGTTGATGGAGGTGGTGGTGGTGAGGTGATGGTGGTGAGGTGATGGGGGTGATGGGGGATGGTGGTGGTGGTGGTGATGAGGTGATGGTGGTGAGGTGGTGGTGGTGAGGTGATGGTGGTGAGGTGATGGTGATGAGTGATGGTGGTGAGGTGATGGTGATGAGATGATGGTGGTGAGGTGATGGGGTGATGGGGTTGAGGTGATCGGGTGAGGTGATGGGGATGAGGTGAAGTGATGGTGGTGATGCTGTGAGGTTTTGGGGGGTGATGGGTGAGGTGATGGGAGTGAATGTGATGCTGCAGATGAGGTGGTGATGAGGTGATGGGATGGGGATGTTTGTGATGCTGTAGATGAGGTGGTGATGTTTTTGATGGGGGTGCGGTTGAGGTGATGGTGCTGCAAATTAAGTGGTGGTGTGATGATGAACGAGTTGAAGTGACTTAAAACATGGGAATGAGGTGGTGGTGATGGTGATGTAGCTGATGAGGTTATGGAGTGGTGGGAGATAATTGATAATAGAGTAAATCTTGTGACGCGGCTGATGCATTTGTGTGTTTGTGATGAGGTGATGTGATGGCGTGATGCACGTGTGATGATTCTGCAGATGAGGAGCTGATGATGGTAGTGAGTGTAGTGATGATGGTAGTGGTGTAGTGATGATGGTGGTGAGTGTAGTGATGATGGTAGTGGTGTAGTGATGATGGTAGTGGTGTAGTGATGATGGTGGTGGTGTAGTGATGATGGTGGTGAGTGTAGTGATGATGGTAGTGGTGTAGTGATGATGGTAGTGGTGTAGTGATGATGGTAGTGAGTGTAGTGATGATGGTGGTGATGTAATTTAAGTACGGGAGGGAGGGTGGTGATGATGATTTAACGGTTTGATGCTATGGCGTGATGGGTGTAATGTTGGGTATGATGTTGGTGATAGGGGTGATATGATGGGGATGTGGTGGTGGAATTGCATGTGACGGTGCATGTAATTGTGGTATGGTAATGGTGAGATTAGGCACCACCATCACCACCATAAGCCCTTCTCACGCCTTGTGAGGGGCGTTACCGTGGTAACGCGCGCGTGATTGGACGAGGCGAGCTCCAGAGGTCACGTGGTATGTAGTGTGTGTGGTTGTGTGGTGTGTGTGTGGTTGTGTGGTGTGTGTGGTTGAGCGGTGTGTGTGTTGTGCGGTGTGTGTGTGTGGTTGTGCGGTGTGTGTGCTTGAGCGGTGTGTGTGTGTGGTTGTGCGGTGTGTGTGTGTGGTTGTGCGGTGTGTGTGTGTGTGGTTGTGTGGTGTGTGTGTGTGTTGTGCGGTGTGTGTGTGTGGTTGTGCGGTGTGTGTGTGTGGTTGAGCGGTGTGTGTGTGTGCTTGAGCGGTGTGTGTGTGGGGTTGAGCGGTGTGTGTGTGTGGTTGTGCGGTGTGTGTGTGTGTGGTTGAGCGGTGTGTGTGTGTGGTTGTGCGGTGTGTGTGGTTGTGTGTGTGTGTGGTTGAGCGGTGTGTGTGTGTGCGGTTGTGCGGTGTGTGTGCGGTGTGTAGTGTGTGCGGTTGAGCGGTGTGTGTGTGTGCGGTTGTGCGGGTGCGGTGTGTGTGTGCGGTGTGTGTGTGTGCGGTTGAGCAGTGTGTGTGTGTGTGTGTGGTTGAGCGGTGTGTGTGTGTGGTTGTGTGGTGTGTGTTGTGCGGCGTGTGTGTGTCGTTGAGCGGTGTGTGTGTGTGGTTGTGCGGAGTGTGTGGTTGAGCGGTTGTATATGGTTGTGCGGTGTGTGTGGTTGAGCGGTGTGTGTGGTTGAGCGGTGTGTGTGGTGGTTGTGTGTGTGTGCGGTGAGCGGTGTGTGTGTGTGTGTGGTTGAGCGGTGTGTGTGTGTGTGGTTGAGCGGTGTGTGTGTGTGGTTGAGCGGTGTGTGTGTGTGGCTGAGCGGTGTGTGTGGTGGTTGAGCGGTGTGTGTGTGTGTGGTTTGAGCGGTGTGTGTGTGTGTGGTTGAGCGGGTGTGTGTGTGTGTGGTGAGCGGTGTGTGTGTGTGTGGTTCAGCGGTGTGTGTGTGTGTGGTTGAGCGGTGTGTGTGTGTGGTTGTTGCGGTGTGTGTGGGTGAGCGGTGTGTGTGGGTTGAGCGGTGTGTGTGTGTGTGGTTGAGCGGTGTGTGTGTGTGTGAGCGGTGTGTGTGTGTGGTTTGAGCGGTGTGTGTGTGTGTGGTTGAGCGGTGTGTGTGTGTGTGGTTGAGGGTGTGTGTGTGTGTGGTTGAGCGGTGTGTGTGTGGTGGTTGAGGGTGTGTGTGTGTGTGGTTGAGAGGTGTGGTGGTTGAGCGGTGTGTGTGGTTGAGGGTGGCGGTGTGTGGTTGTGCGTGTGTGTGAGCGGTGTGTGTGGTTGAGCAGTGTGTGTGTGTGGTTGAGCGGTGTGTGTGGTTGAGCGGTGTGTGTGTGGTTGAGCGGTGTGTGTGGTTGAGCGGTGTGTGGTGTGGTTGAGCGGTGTGTGTGTGTGTGGTTGAGCGGTGGTGTGTGTGTGGTTGAGCGGTGTGTGTGTGGTTGAGCGGTGTGTGTGTGTGTGGTTGAGCGGTGTGTGTGTGGTTGAGCGGTGTGTGTGTGTGTGCGTGGTTGTGCGGTGTGTGTGTGCGTGGTTGTGCGGTGTGTGTGGTTGAGCGGTGTGTGTGTGTGTGGTTGAGCGGTGTGTGGTTGAGCGGTGTGTGTGTGGTTGAGCGGTGTGTGGTTGAGCGGTGTGTGTGTGTGTGGTTGAGCGGTGTGTGTGTGTTTGGTTGAGTGGTGTGTGTGTGGTTGAGCGGTGTGTGTGTGTGGTTGAGCGGTGTGTGTGTGTGTGGTTGAGCGGTGTGTGTGTGTGGTTGAGCGGTGTGTGTGTGTGTGGTTGAGCGGTGTGTGTGTGTGGTTGAGCGGTGTGTGTGTGTGTGGTTGAGTGGTGTGTGTGTGTGTGGTTGAGCGGTGTGTGTGTGTGTGGTTGAGCGGTGTGTGTGTGTGTGGTTGAGCGGTGTGTGTGTGTGTGGTTGAGCGGTGTGTGTGTGTGTGGTTGAGCGGTGTGTGTGTGTTTGGTTGAGCGGTGTGTGTGTGTGTGGTTGAGCGGTGTGTGTGTGTGGTTGAGCGGTGTGTGTGTGTGGTTGAGCGGTGTGTGTGTGTGGTTGAGCGGTGTGTGTGTGTGGTTGAGCGGTGTGTGTGGTGTGTGGTTGAGCGGTGTGTGTCTGGTTGAGCGGTGGTGTGTGTGTGGTTGTGCGGTGTGTGTGTGGTTGTGCGGTGTGTGTGTGGTTGAGTGGTGTGTGTGTGTGTCCGCGGTGTGTGTGGTTGAGCGGTGTGTGTGTGTGGTTGAGCGGTGTGTGTGTGTGTGGTTGAGTGGTGTGTGTGTGTGTGTGTCCGCGGTGTGTGTGGTTGTGCGGTGTGTGTGTGTGGTTGAGCGGTGTTTGTGTGTGTGTGTGTGGTTGAGCGGTGTGTGTGTGTGTGGTTGAGCGGTGTGTGTGTGGTTGAGCGGTGTGTGTGTGGTTAAGCGGTGTGTGTGTGGTTGAGCGGTGTGTGTGTGGTTGAGCGGTGTGTGTGTGTGGTTGAGCGGTGTGTGTGTGTGTGGTTGAGCGGTGTGTGTGTGTGTGTGGTTGAGCGGTGTGTGTGTGGTTGAGCGGTGTGTGTGTGGTTAAGCGGTGTGTGTGTGGTTGAGCGGTGTGTGTGGTTGAGCGGTGTGTGTGTGTGGTTAAGCGGTGTGTGTGTGGTTGAGCGGTGTGTGTGTGGTTGAGCGGTGTGTGTGTGTGTGTGTGGTTGAGCGGTGTGTGTGTGGTTGAGCGGTGTGTGTGGTTGAGCGGTGTGTGTGTGGTTGAGCGGTGTGTGTGTGTGTGGTTGAGCGGTGTGTGTGTGTGTGGTTGAGCGGTGTGTGTGTGTGGTTGTGTGGTGTGTGTGTGTGGTTGAGCGGTGTGTGTGTGGTTGAGCGGTGTGTGTGTGCGTGTGGTTGAGCGGTGTGTGTGCGTATGGTTGAGCGGTGTGTGTGGTACGATGTGTATACATCGCCACTGTGGAGACAAAGGCGGCCGGGCATGGTCCTGGCCACCCACCCCCTCGTGTGCCATCCCAGCCTTCATAGCTGCCGGCTAACAGCATTTGCCCCAACAGTCTGTTCGGGCTATAGTGGGGATCTTTGCATGTTGGGGTGTCCAGTGATGTCCTGTGTGTTGTCCGATTCTGTTTACATATAGTGGTGCTGTGTTGGTCTGCTGTGTGTGATCCTGCACATGTTAATGTTGTTTTCTGATAAGTGTGTATATTGGTGCATGTGTGGCTGTGGGCGCATGCCAGAAACCAACCAAGAATATCTACTGAACTCTTGTGGCTAGACGGCAAATGATAGCTCATGTTCTTGACACCAGGACTTACAGTGGAGCTGATCTGTCCACTGACCATCAGCTTGTCATCTGTAAGATGCACCTGCTGTTCTTCCACTGTGGACTGGCAATCCGCGTCTCATCATGTTCAAACCAGAAATAGCCCCGTCTGGACTCGCTGTTGAAAGTTGCAAGCGAGAATCTGATCATCGCTTGTGGCTGGGGTTGGCATCGTAACCCCCACCTCCTCCTGAAGTCGAGGGGTAATTGGAGAGGTTCAGGACTGCGGCTCATGCAGCTGCTCTGGCTTGATTGGGCACGTGGTCTTGACCTCCCCACAAACCCTGGTTAATGGAGGTGTTCCAGCGAGCTGAGAGACAGCGACAGGCCCACTCTCACTGCTTATAGCTTCCTACATGAGGGAATGAGGAGGCTCATTGCAGCCTCCTCTTGGAGGTTCGGAGAGTTATGTGGCATTGCTTTAAATGGTTGCAAGTGAGAATTTGATCGTATTTGTGTGATGTCTGTCTGTGATGGTGTGGTGACTGTATTATGATGTGGTGGCTATGCGCGATTGTATTTGACCGTGTGTGTCGTTGGCTGTGTGTGACACCGTGTGATGCTGTGCCGTGTGTGCGTGTACACCAGGCCCCTGCGTTCGCTACTTCGACAATGAGTGTAGTAGTCGAGGCAACTCCGATCCTTACGGGGGAGAACGGTGCGGTCCCTGGAGGTGGTGACGCCACTCGCATATCAACTCGCACTCACCCCGTGCCCACTTGTGAAACCACCGAACCCCCCGAGCACCCGGGGGGTAGCACGGGGGGTGGGTCCGCATTGCACGGAGACAAAGAACATGGGGGAGACACAGGACACGGCGGAGACACGGGACACGGCGGAGACACGGGACACGGCGGAGACACAGGACACGGAGACACGGGACAAGGAGATACGGAACTCGGGGGGCATGATGGAGATGAGGGCGATGCGGTCCTCGCCGTCCTCACCGGGGATCCGTCTGGAGACCTCGTCGGGGACCTCGTCTTTGATTCTGAGACAACGGGGGTACCCTCCTCCTGCCTGGTCCCCACTGCCCCCGTGATCCACGGCCTGCCGCCCCCCTCGTGTCCCCTCGGCACGGACCCCGACGGCCACGGTGAGTTGGAGGCCGCGGCCGTCCCCCGCTCCTCCTCCCCAGGGGAGCCGGCGTCCGCCTCCCTCCCGTGCCCCCCCGTGTCCCCTCCCCCGTCCCCGCCTCCGAGTTCCCCCGCACCCCCCACGGCAAAGCCCCGGGGGGGCGCCCTGCAGCAGGGGCTGGCGTTCCTGCGCCGATCGCTGCGGCTTGACCGGGCGTTCCAGCGCTCCAGCAAGCACAAGCACGGCGCCGGGAGCGGGGGAGGCGGCCTGCTCACCTATGCGGCGCAGTTCCCCCCGGAATGGTGGCCCATGCTGGGGGAGCTGCCCACCACGCAGCACCAGCTTCAGCAGCAGCAGCAGCTTCTAGGGCAGCATCTGCACAACGCGAACCAGCTGCGCAGCGTGTCCCTGCTGCGTCTGGCGGTGGCGGGGGAGGGCAGCAGCGGCGGCAATCCGGCAGCGGCGCTGGTGCTGGTGGTGCCGCGTGCCGTGGAGCTGGAGATCGTGCGGCGAATCAACCCGCAGCTCACGGAGGAGAACGTGGCGGCGCACGCGCGCGCGCTGGCGCACGCCCACGCGGCGCAGCCTTTGCCGCCAACTGCCAACGCCAATCAGCAGCGGCAGCGTGGCGCCGCCACCGCCGACGACGGCGGAGGCGGCCGCCCCGGCGGAGCCACCGACAATGACCCCCCGCCCGCCGGAGAGCTCCACTCCGACCTCAACGCCAATGGCGAGGCGGGCGCGGACGGCGAGTGGGGGCACTACCGGCGCTACCAGGAGCGGTGGCGGGGGACCGGTCGGCGCTGGCGGGGGTCCCTGCGGGGCGGCTGGACGGACAAGTCGAGTCTGGGCCCCGGCGTGTCGGACGCCCAGACTTGCGCCACCCGCGCCAGCGGCACGCGGGGGCCCGACGACGACGACAATGACGATGTGGGAGGAGGAGTGTTCCACGAGGGCGGCCACGCGGATGAGGTGTCCTCCACCACCTCGTCATCGTCCTCTCTGTCCGATTACGAGCGATACCACCGCCACCACCACCGCCACCACGAGGGGCGGCACCATCGGCGACAGCAGCAGCAGCAACAGCTGGGTCCAAGCCACCACCAGAAGCAGAAACACGAACAGCATCAACACCACCATCACCACCACCATCACCATCGGCAGCAGCAGCCGCTGACGTCTTCGCAGGGACGCGTGTCTCCTCCTCCTCCCCGCGTGCGCCCACGCGAGGCGACGGCGGCGGCTCCGCCGTGCCCCTCCGCGCCAACCCCCCACCACGCGGCGGGGCCGCCCCCGTCGCGGGCACCGCCGCTGCCGCCCATCGCGGGCAGCCCCGTGCCGCCCCCGTGCCGTCCCCGCCCGCCCTCGCGCGACGCCAGGTCGGAGGGCCGCTCCCACGGGAGGTCGCGCGACAAGCGGCCTCGCGGGGACCACCGGGCCCACGACCCCGGCCCCGAGTGGCCGAGTGGCGGGGCCGCCACCGGCGGGTCACGTGACCCGGAGCGCGGGTCACGTGACCCGGCGACGGTCGGGGCTGCGGTAGAAGAGAGGAGGTCGAGGGGTCACGGATCACGGGAGGAGGGGTCGCGGGGTCACACGAGGTCGCACGGACGCAGGTCGGCTGACGACAGGTCGCGCGACGAGCGGCACCATGCTCACGGGCGGCCGCGTGACGTGCGCGACGACGCGGCACACAGACGTAGGTCGCATGGGCGCAGCTCGGCCGATCAGAGGTCGCAGGGTCAGAGGTCGAGGGACGAGCGATCCCAGGGTCAGAGGTCGAGGGACGAGCGATCACAAGGTCAGAGGTCGCGGGACGAGCGATCGCAAGGTCAGAGGTCGAGGGACGAGCGACCGCAAGGTCAGAAGTCGAGGGACGAGCGACCGCAGGGTCAGAAGTCGAGGGACGAGAGGTCGCAAGGTCAGAGGTCAAGAGATGAAAGATCGCAAGGTCAGAGGTCACATTCCTTGGCCCGGAGACGGAGCGGGGGAGAGGAGAGGTTCACTCTGCCCCGACCCGGAGAGTTCAGTGTGATCCTGTGATGCTCGCCCGTGCTTCACACAGCACCACCACGCGTCGTGGTCGGTGTACGTGGGAGATGCTCTGGGGAAGAGTTTCCCAAACTTTCGTCCTCACGATCCACCCTGCTCCGTCTTCCCAATGTAACCCCCCCCCACTTCAAATCAACTCGTGCCACGCTATATGCGCCTGATGATGGTTGTACATGCACCTGTACATACGCGCACGAGATTCCGATCTTCATTTTAATACTCTATTAACCGCGGACAGCGTTCATTGTTTAGCGCGCCACGTGGGACGTTCAACAATCAACGGACGCGTGCAGCGTGAAACGAGTTAATTTAAATGTGGAGTAAATGGCTTAACGCGGAATGACGTAGCGTGGTCGGGGGTCGCGAGGACTCAAGTTTGGAAACGACGTAGTGGCTGTACGTGAAGGTGACTGAGGTCACCAAATGTGTTTTTTTTACATCTGGACTTTGTTCAAGGGTTTAAAACCTCGCCTCAACAACAACCACCTTGACGACGTGCCAATGCGCGGGGCTACCCGAGGTGGAGTTCCATGCTGTAGGTAGAGGTGGGAGATGCTGTAGAGGACGGGGTGTAGATAGCTAGAGGGTGTAGGTATAGGTGGGAGGTGCTGTAGATTTTATGGAGGAGAAGGCGCTGGGTACACCCAGACTGAGCAGTATTCATTCCTCGACTGACGTCACCGCACGCGTTGTTGCTTTTCGTGACGATTTCTGCCAATAAAACTCAACTCGCGGTACACGCGGCGTGGCAGTGTCTGCGTAGGCGTTTGTGGCGGTGTCTGCGGAGGTAGGTGTGGTGTTATCCTGGGTTTAACCAGGCTAGCTTGTGTGGCTAGCTCACACATTCTTGAAGGCTCTGGACACATTCCCATCGGTGAGCTCTGGCAGGCAAGGCTGCGTTGGCTTCGTCATGTAGCCCGCAAGCCCAGCCACCGCCCGCTCAAGCAGCTTCTGTTTGACCGCATAGAGGGGGCTACACGAGCACGACATGGGCTGGAGAAGAGATGGACTGATGCGGTACGGGAGGATGTGGAGCTGAGTGGACTTGCCCATGACTGGTACCAGCGGTGTCAAAATCGGCCTCTGGAGGAGGCTCGTGAAGGACGCTACTGGACAGTTGGAGGCAGTCGCCCTCCAGCAACAACGGAGGGTGGAGGAGCGACGCTCGCAAGCACGAGCAGAGCGCCGTGTGGTTAAAATGCGGCAAGTTGCCAAGGTACGGGCATAGCTGGCACAGGTGGGGCGTCACGGTCGCGAGATGTTAACTACCTCGCCTGGTATACAGGAGGTCGTGCGCTCGATCCCGACCATGACGCCTGCTGTACATTTGGCGTTTGCATCTCAGTCAGCCAACCCATGTCACCTGGGTCTGTACCGAGACCTATCGGCGAGCCTTCGACACTTCACCTGGCCTGGCACAGGTGCCGTGGTGACATCACCGTCGCTTCGTGGCGAATGGCGGGCGTGGTGTTGGCAACCCACCCACCCCCTCGTGTTCCGTGCCGGCATTCATAGGTGCTCACGAACAGCATTTGCCCCGCCAATCTGTTAAAGGCTATATGGGGGATCTTTGTCATGTAGGTCGGTGTGGGGAGCGGTAGTGTAGCGGTGAGCACGCTGAGCTACAAACCTGCTAACACGAATTCGAATCCTGCTCACGGACAACGTGGTTATCTTAACCGGTCCGGAGCCTCCCCTGGGTCGACTCGGCCTCAAATGAGTACCTTTTACGATGTATAAACATTGCCACTTGGGAGACAAAGGCGGCCAGGCGTAGTGCTGGCCACCCACCCCCTCGTGTGCCCTGCCGTCATTCATAGGTGCTCGCTAACAGCACTTGCCCCAAAAGTCTGTTACGACTATACGGGGGATATTTAATCGTGTGTGTGTGTAGGTGAGTAAGTGAGGAGTCGGGCGGCATGATCTTTTCGTCAGCTGTGTAACGCTGTATTGGAAGCTACCTGGCCTATCGCTCCACACTCAGGCAGGGGTGGGGAACGTCCGGCCCGCGGGCCGTATAAGGCTCGCGAAATCATTTGGCAGTTCCAGCCATCACATTAGGGGCGAGTTAACGAAATGTTTAACCGAATATAACGGGCTAATCTTTAAGTTTATACTCTTGTATGGCCCGCGAATGATGTTATTAATGTTCAAATGGCCCTTGGCAGAAAAAAGGTTCTCCACCCCTGCTCCACAGTGATACCCCTCCTCTCTGCTTGTGAATCGTGGATCTCTCCAAAGGGACATCTTCGCTGGTTTGAAACATTCAGACTGGCCTGCCTACGATCCATCCTTGCTTTGACCACGTTGAGGTACAGTGTGAGGAGCTCAGAGATCCTTTAAATATCTGGACGCAGTCCCATGAGTGAGCTCCTCCGGCAAGGCGCGGAGGCTGCTTTTGCTGGGTCACGCAGCCCGCATACTCAGCCACCGCAATCCTAGGCGGCTTCTGTTTGGCCGGATCGAGGGGGCTACATGGGCGCCCCACGGGCTGGAGAAGAGATTCAGCTGATGCGGTACAGGAGGATGTGGAGCTGAGTGGACTTGCCGATGACCGATACCAGCGGTGTCAAGATCGACCACCGCAAAGGAGGCTCGGGAAGGACGCTGCTGCGCAGTTTGAGGTCGTCGCCCTCCAGCAAAAGCGGAGGGCGGAGGAGCGACGCTCACAACAACAAGCGGAGCACGGGGCGGCTAAAACGCAGCGAGGTGGCACGTTGTGGAGCACAGGTGGTGCATCTCTGCCAGTGGACCCATGGCAGCTGGGTTTGCCCTGTGACTTGTTAGTGAGCCGTCGACACTTCACGTGGCCTCGAGGCGCACCTAGCCTGGCACAAGCGCCCTGGTGACGTCACCACAATTTCGTGGTGAACCCGCTGAAAGGCTGCCCTCCTTCAGGGTGAGAAGGCACACGGGAAAACTAGACGGGGACTGATAATTGGTTTTTTACCCTTCTATCTGGCAACAAAACTGACACCTTTTTTTTTACAAGGAGTCATGTTTGCATTTACCACAATACCTGCAGTCGTAATGCAAACAAAAAAAAACAACTCTGATAATGTATGTGCACTGTCCTTGAAGTTGATTGGTCCACACCCGAGACAGCTTTCCTTAGAGCCTATTCTCACATGGGGTTGGACCAGATGACGCCAAAAGGCGCACAACTCAAGGACAATGCACCATCAGAGTATGAGAGCTCGGGGTAAGCATTTACACCATTGAAAAAGAAAAGGTGTCAGTTTTGTTGCCAGATAAAAATGGTAAAAAAACAATGATCATATTTTTTCTTCTGGCAAATGAGGTTCCAATGGTGTAGACGGGGACTCTGTCTGCTGAAGGCCTCTGCACCCTCTCGTCGTGGCGAGCAGCAGACCTCGGCACTCGTATCCAGCTCCTGAAACATATTTGCTGCTGCTGCTGCTGTCATCACAGTGGGGTCAGATAGAATCTCTATCTGACCCCACTTGAGCCAATTTGACCTGACCCTGACGTCATGTGACCTCACCTCGCTGCCTCACCTGACCCTGATGTCACGTGACCTCACCTTGTGGCCTCACCTGACCCCGATGTCACGTGACCTCACCTTGTAACCTCACCTGACCCCGATGTCATGTGACCTCACCTCGTGGCCTCACCTGACCCCGATGTCACGTGACCTCACCTCGTGGCCTCACCTGACCCCGATGTCATGTGACCTCACCTTGTGGCCTCACCTGACCCCGACGTCACGTGACCTCACCTCGTGGCCTCACCTGACCCCGATGTCACGTGACCTCACCTCGTGGCCTCACCTGACCCCGAGCCCCTCTCGTGACGTCATCACGTCCGGAGTGCGTGGTGACGTCATCGCAAAGTGTTTGTGGCCGCGTGGCGTCACGTACTACGGTGCCCGGCGGCAGCCAAATTGAAGACGGGGGGGGGGGGGGGGAAACGCGATTCGTAAATAACAGCGGCGGGCTGAGTGACGGCTGATTCAACTTTTTCAACAGCGACGACGTCAACAACAACAACTGACACAGCAGCAGACACCAATGATACCGCCACAACAGTTACATCAACAGTCACGAACCAGCATTGACACATCAGCATCAACAATCAACAGGGCTACAACAGCAGCAGCATCATCATCATCAGCGTCATCATCATCATCAGTGCCGATGTCCCGCGGCCCGGACTCTGTTGAACGGCGTCTCGCCGAGTACAGGAGCAGCAGGAGGAGACGCGACCCGGGCACCACGGGGAGCCCCACGCACCACGAGGGGGCAGGCGGGGGGGGTGGTGGTGGTCCCCCGGCTGCTGCCGGAGCGGGGCACGGTGGCTCCTGGCTCGGCCGCCTCCTCCCGCGGCTCTGGGGACGCGACGCGCCGCACCGAGTGGAGGCCCCGCGCCCTGAGCAGGTGAGGAGCCGGAGGTTTCAGTGGTCAGTTACATTACACTGGTAGGAAGCTCCTGGTTACACCAGCCCACAGGGGATTGTTGTGTCCGTCCGTCCGTCGTGGAGGAGCTGGGTGGGGAGGGGGTGGGTGGGGTGGGGAGGGGCTGGGTGGGGAGGGGAGGGTGGTGAGGGGCTGGGTGGGGAGGGTGAGGAGGGGAGGGTGGTGAGGGGCTGGGTGGGGAGGGGAGGGTGGTGAGGGGCTGGGTGGGGAGGGGAGGGTGGTGAGGGGCTGGGTGGGGAGGGTGGTGAGGGGCTGGGTGGGGAGGGTGAGGAGGGGGTGGTTTGGGAAAGTGGTGAGGGGCTGGGTAGGGAGGGACTGGGTGGGGAGGGTGGGGCTGGGTGGGGAGGGGCTGGTCACCCCGTGGTGCCCTTATAAAACTCAACGTTTAACCTACTCACGCCGGCTTGTGCCCGCCCTCACAGTCGGGCATATTTGCGGAATACACCACGCCGCCGTTGACCGAGCAACCCAACGTACCTACCAGCTCCCTCCGCAGGAATGTGTTTAGGTATAACCCTGTGAGCCATGCGGCTCTTGACTCGGGTGCAACCGCAACAAAACAAAAACACGAAGAAACATCTTGAAGTGACTCCACGCAACAGAAAAATCCAACGAGGGTGTAAGTCTTCCAGAAAAAGAACACCGCGTTTCAACGCTGTGTGCAAAAAATCCCAGTGGGATGCAAGTCAAACAATAACAACCATAAGACAATGTAGATTAACGTTATCAGGTTTTGGTGGGGGGGGGGATGGGTTTCTGATGATGATGGTCGTGGTGCTGATGGCAAGTGGCGATATCACGGTGGTGGTGGCGGTGGTGCTGATGGTCATCTTGCCATCGTCTGCGTCAAGCTGTGTGGCAGCTACCTGGGCAGCCCGTCGCTCCACACGAAGCTTCTCGCTCGCATGGACCCCCTCCACTCTCTACGCTTTGCGAAACCTGGACCCCCCCTCTCTCTCTGTCTCCCCCGTCTCTTCCCCAGGATTTACCCCTGTCTCTCACCGCAGGAGCAGCCGCAAGGTGTGGATCCCTTGCGAGGAGAAGGGGCCCCTGGCGATGGTGACGTTGGTGGTGGAGTTGGTGGTGGAGTTGGTGGTGGAGTTGGTGGTGGAGTTGGTGCTGATGGAGGGGGGCGTGGGCCCTCCCCTCGCTGGGCCCTCTGGCTCCGCGTCTCCATCTGGCTGCTGCTCCTTGGCCTCTTCTTCTACCTGCAGCTGCTCACGCCCTTCCTGCTCGTGTCCGTTCTCATCTTCCTCCCGCTCGCCTCCTCCCGCAGGGGTAACCACGGGGATGGCGCGGGGGTCACGAGGGTGGAACCATGGGGATGACGCCGGGGTCACGAGGGTGTAACCATTGGGATGGTCCCAGGGTCACGAGGGTGTAACCATGGGGATGGCACCGGGTTCACGAGGGTGTAACCATGGGGATGGTGCCGTGGTCACGAGGGTGTAACCATGGGGATGATGCCCGCCGGGGTCACGAGGGTGTAACCATGTGGATGACGCCGTGGTCACGAGGGTGTAACCATGGGGATGACGCGGGGGTCACGAGGGTGTAACCATGGGGATGACGCCGGGGTCACGAGGGTGTAACCACAGGGATGGCGCGGGGGTCACGAGGGTGTAACCATGGGGATGACGCCAGGGTCACGAGGGTGTAACCATGGGGATGACGCGGGGGTCACGAGGGTGTAACCATGGGGATGACGCCAGGGTCACGAGGGTGTAACCATGGGGATGATGCGGGGGTCACGAGGGTGTAACCATGGGGATGACGCCGGGGTCACGAGGGTGTAACCACGGGGATAGCGCCGGGGTCACGAGGGTGTAGCCATGGGGATGACGCCGTGGTCACGAGGGTGTAACCATGGGGATGACTCCGGGGTCACGAGGGTGTAACCATGGGGATGACTCCGGGGTCACGAGGGTGTAACCATGGGGATGACGCCGTGGTCACGAGGGTGTAACCATGGGGATGACACCAGGGTCACGAGGGTGTAACCACGGGACTGACGCCGGGGTCACGAGGTGTAACCATGGGGATGGCGCCGGGGTCACGAGGTGTAACCACGGGGATGACGCCGGGGTCACGAGGGTGTAACCATGGGGATGGCGCCGGGGTCACGAGGTGTAACCACGGGGATGACGCCGGGGTCACGAGGTGTAACCATGGGGATGGCGCCGGGGTCACGAGGTGTAACCATGGGGATGGCGCCGGGGTCACGAGGGTGTAACCATGGAGATGACGCCAGGGTCACGAGGGTGTAACCATGGGGATGGCGCCGGGGTCACGAGAGTGTAACCATGGGGATGGCGCCGGGGTCACGAGGGTGTAACCATGGGGATGGCGCCGGGGTCACGAGGGTGTAACCATGGGGATGGCGCCGAGGTCACGAGGGTGTAACCATGGGGATGGCGCCGAGGTCACGAGGGTGTAACCATGGGGATGGCGCCGTGGTCACGAGGGTGTAACCATGGGGATGACGCGGGGGTCACGAGGTGTAACCATGGGGATGACACGGGGGTCACAAGGGTGTAACCGCGGGGGTAAGCGTGGGTAACCAGAGGGGTAACACGGGGGGCTCTAACTCCTCCAGAATGCAGACACAGCATCCCCATTCTGGTTTATTGTTGTAACATTCTGACCTGCCTCCACTGGGCATCTTAAAAAAAGTGCATTACAGCTAATCGGATTCCTCCAGGATAAATATTCTGATTTGACTTGATGCAGTAAATCTGGCTGTGACGGTCCCACCTGATGATGGAGACTTGTGTTGCCTCCGAAACGTCGTGATTTATTATTTTATTTCTATTATTACTTCTATTAATTTTACTTTTATTTTTACCTACGTGACTTTACCGAAAAAGCCTAAGAGTATGAATCCTTGCAGTCACGAAAGCTTCAAATCTAGAATTCTGATTTGGGTTTGATGCGTTAGCCTGTGTGACCCTATGACCGCCTGTATCTCTCTGTGTTGTTTCACCCCTCCTCCCCGTGTCCCCCCATAGCCCGTGGCACCCTGAGCGCGTACTCGGTGTTCAACCCCGGCTGCCGCCCCCTCCTCGGGGCCATCACCACAGAGCAGCTCGAGAGGGAGATGGGCTACGGAGCCTTGTGATGCCACCACCATCACCATCCACACAGGTGATGATGATGAGCAGGGCTCTTGCAACCACAACTAATAAGAAGAGACCATCTTTGTTTTCAAATTCGGCACAAAAGTCGGTATTTAAAGAGCCACAATGAATGTGAATACGGTCCTTAATAAATAACGTCACGCATCAGTCCTTAAAACGCCGCGGGTTGCCGACCCCCGATGATGCTGATGATGATGGTGGCAGTGATGTGTGTATGTATGTAGAACTTCTTTCGCACCGTACGTAGCCGAACCGTGTTCATCGGAGGTGCGGGGGAAGGACAACAAACTAAACACAAAAATCAGTTGTTCAGACGTGAGCTTTAAATCTCGATTTAAAGGCGCAAAGCTGCCAGTGTCTTCCTAACTTCCTAATATCGGAAGTAAGAGCGTTCAAAACGGCCGCAGAAACGCATCTGAAAGTGCGCGATGCAGTGATCATGATGATGATGGTGATTATAATGATGATGGCGATGTTGTAAGTAGTGAATGTGGTACCAGCCTGAATCATTTCTATCTCGTCCTCGCCACCACCGCCTTGATCACGACCAATAGCGAGTTCGCATCTTACGCGGCTCTCCCACGCCCTCTGGTGGCCGCTCTCGGGCATCACAGAGCCGCTGACTCCAAAAGTTTAACACATTCCTGCGGAGGGAGCTGGTAGGAACGTTGGGTTGCTCGGTCAATAGCCAGGGTCAACGGCGGCGTGGTGTATTCCGCAAATATGGCCGACTGTGAGGGCGGGCACAAGCCGGCGTGAGTAGGTTAGAACCAGGTGGTTCCTACCAGTATTATAATTCACTGATTTCTCGAGCTGATATACGGCAACTTGTTCAGCAGAGGGGTGGATGCAATGGCGGAGCCAGGATTATCAGGTAGCGGGGGTAACCCGTCCAGCAATTAAAAATGATAGAGGAGTTACACCATTGGAACCTCATTTGCCAGTAAAAATATGATAATTGGGTTTTTACCCTTCCATCTGGCAACAAAACTGACACCTTTTTTCAAGGAGTCATGTTTGCATAGACCACAATACCTGCAGTCATAATGCAAACAAAAAACACAACTCTGATCATGTGCACTGTCCTTGAAGTTGATTGGTCCACATCCGAGACAGCTTTCCTTAGAGCCTAGTCTCACATGGGTTGGACCAAATGACGCCTGGCAAATGAGGTTCCAATAGTGTAAATGCTTACCCCGAGCTCTCATACTCTGATGGTGCGTTGTCTTTGAGTTGTGCGCCTTTTGGCGTCATCTGGTCCAACCCATGTGAGACTAGGCTCTAAGGAAAGCTGTCTCGGATGTGGACCAATCAACTTCAAGGACAGTGCACATTATCAGAGTTGCGTTTTTTGTTTGCATTATGACTGCAGGTATTGTGGTCTATGCAAACATGACTCCTTGTAAAAAGGTGTCAGTTTTGTTGCCAGATGGAAGGGTAAAAAACCAATTATATTTTTACTGGCAAATGAGGTTCTAATGGTGTAAATGCTTTCCCCGAGCTCTCATACTCTGATGGTGCATTGTCTTTGAGTTGTGCGCCTTTTGGCGTCATCTGGTCCAACCTATGTGAGACTAGGCTCTAAGGAAAGCTGTCTCGGGTGTGGACCAATCAATTTCAAGGACAGTGCATACATTATCAGAGTTGTGTTTTTTGTTTGCATTCCGACTTCAGGTATTGTGGTCAATGCAAACATGACTCCTCGTAAAAAGGTGTCAGTTTTGTTGCCAGATAAAAGGGTAAAAAAACAATTATCATATTTTGTTACTGGCAAATGAGGTTCCAATGGTGTTAATCCACAGGATCTTTAAAGTCCACTGTGAGCACGTTGTATCATGGTGAATTCACACTCCGGTATTCACCGGGTTGACTGCTGGTCTTGTACTGTTATTGATGTTGTTTTACTTTCTTTCCCAAGCTTGGGAATTGATGCAATTTGAACGTAGAGGAATTACTCTTTGGTTCTTTCGGTAAAGTCACGTAGAAAGAAAATAAATTAAATAATAGAATACGACGTTTCGATTGCAACACAAGCAACCATCATCAGGTACGAATGAATGGGAAAACAAACAGCAAACTTAGAAATATAATGCGATACAACCTAGAGAGTCGGCTAACAACAGTCGACACCCTCTACCTGCTTGATTAACGTTCTTCCAAAGATTGCTAAATTTTAGAGACAAAACACAGACACGGAGACACACAGAGACACACAAGCAGAGAGAGACTCGCATAAAGACACACACAGAGACACACACAGAGAGACACACACAGAGACACACACAGAGACAGAGAGAGACACACAGAGAGAGAGACACAGCCAGACACAAGCAGAGAGAGACTCACACAGAGACACACACAGAGAGACACACACACAGGGACACACACAGAGAGACACACACAGAGACACACAGAGATACACACAGAGACACATAGAGAGACACACACAGAGAGAGACACACACAACAGAGACACACAGCCAGACACACAGCCAGACACACAAGCAGAGACTCACACAGAGACACACAGACAGACACACAGAGAGAGACACACACAGAGAGACACACAACATAGACACAGACAGGCACACAAGCAGAGAGAGACACACAGACAAGCAGAGAGAGACTCACACAGAGACACACAGAGACAGAGAGAGACACACACAGAGAGACACACACAACATAGACACACACAACATAGAGACAGACAGAGACATACAGAGACAGACACACACACAGAGACATACAGAAAGACAACACCTCTGTGTCGCGGCCTTAAATTGAAAGGTCGCTTCTGAAAAAAAGAGCTACATAGCTCAGTGGGCCTTCTTAAACCTGCTAAAATAATTTTTTACTAAGTTTAAAATCGATCCAGTTCGCGTGTCACGAGTCACCAAGTCGATTCCCGAATCGTTACTCGCCTGGCGAGCGGAGTTTCCGGGGCGTGGCCACGAAACCGGACGACCAGTTTCGATTCCTCCGTCAGCAACTAATCGTGTTCCCGATTCCTGGTGGCGATGTTTTAATTTAATTGTCGCGATTAAAATTCACGAGCGTGCGAATATCACCACCACCCCCCCGCTCGGGCTCCGTCGGTCAACAGCCGCCGCGGTTTTGTGTCTTCGCCTCGGGGTCGCGCGAAGCTGGCTCGACGATTCTCTTGTGAATCGATCCGAATGCGAGCCGCGCAATTAAACGGAATCGATTCCTCGGTTAGCGGGTATATAAGAGGCTGCGCGGAGCCTTCCCGGGTCTTTCCGAGCCACGAGGTGGGTACCGGTGGGGCGGTCAGCGCACGTCTAACACGATGGGGGGGTCACGAACGACACTCATCGGTTCGATCCCTGTTCTGATCGATCCCTTGTAGAAGAAGATCGTCATCTGCTACAGAGATGATATCTGGGGTTGCTGCGTTGGCGGTGCGAGATTTTAACTTGGCGCCTGTGTTAATGGAGGCCGCATTTTTGAATGCGCGTGATTATGGTGATAACGGTTCTATTAAGTGCTATAGACGAGTGGTTAACGTTCTAGAAGTGCTATAGACGAGTGGTTAACGTTCTAGAAGTGCTATAGACGAGTGATTAACGTTCTAGAAGGGCTATAGAAGAGTGGTTAACCTTCTAGAAGTGCTATAGACGAGTGGTTAATGCTGTGGGAGGGCTATAGAAGAGTGGTTAACGTTCTAGAAGTGCTATAGACGAGTGGTTAACGTCCTAGAAGTGCTATAGACGAGTGGTTTAATGTTTAAGAAGGGCTATAGACGCCACAGGCCTCGTGTATGATGACATCACCGACGGGCGGACTGAGCCTCATGGTGCGGATTTGTCGAGATCTGACGCGAGGCCGACGAGGCGACGATTCCCCTTCCCCCGGGTCTCCTCGGCGGGCTGCCGGGGGGCGATGTTTGAGGTGGATTCGATCAAGGGGAGGACGACTTTATGGATGATGCAGCAGCGAGCTTGGGTGTTGGGTGGCCGTGGACGGGAAGCGAAACTCGTGGCCGCTGGGGTCATAGCGCTAAAGGCGGTGGTGGCGTGGTGCTGACCACCCATAACGATGCCGTTCTTCTTGGTTCTTTCGGTAAAGTCACGTAGAAGAGGAAATAAATAAAACGATGAAATAAAAAAAAAATCATTTTTAGTTTATGTTATAAAAAAATTATTTTCGATTTAAAGCATTCTTTCGTGACTGCAGGGATTCATCTTCTTGGTTCTTTCGGTAAAGTCACGTAGAAGGGAAGTAATAAAATAAAACAATATTTTATGTTTTCTTTTTATTATTTTATTACTTATGTTTTATTATTTTATTACTTCCCTTCTACGTGACTTTACCGAAAGAACCAAGAAGATGAATCCCTGCAGTCACGAAAGCTATAAATCGAAACGACGCTGTTAGTGGCGATGTAGCGAGGGTTTGGAGACTCCGTGATGGCCTCACGAGTGCACCTAGCCTGGCACAGGCGTGGCGTGGATGACGTCACCGCCACGATGTTGAGATGCTGGCGAGGTTGTAACCCGTCTCGTATCCCCCTTGCCCCCTCCCCAGCTCGCCGGGATGAATCGGGGGTCTGCAATCACCAGGTACGAACTTGATGTGGAGGTGGGGGGGAGTTGGTGGGGGGGGAGGTGGTGGGGGGGGAGGTGGTGGTGGGGGGGGAGGTGGTGGTGGTGTAGTTGGTGGTGGTGTAGTTGGTGGTGGGGGGGAAGTTGGTGGTGGTGGGGAGTGTTGGGATGTGATGATTAGTTACGTGTTAGACTTCTGATCTCCATGAAGACCAAACGTAACTGATCCCGTGCACTCCTCCCCCACAGGTCACTGGCTCACGGGTCGTGGGGTCATGGACTAACATCGTTGTGCCTTCACAGGGACCGTCGGGGAGGAGATGGAGCCACGTGAACCGTGGCCGTTGGATCGGAATCGCACAGAACTCTACGCACGAAGATCCCCCCGTGTAGCATTTGACAGACTGTTGGGGTAAAGTGTGGATGGCGAGTAGCACTTGCGAAGGGCTGGGACGGCGCACGAGGGGGGGGGGTAGTGTGTGTTCCACCACGCCCGGCCGCCTTTGTCTTCTTCACACGTACACAATCGGTTTACTTGCCAGGGCAGGGGTGCAATGGGCACACTTGTGCACACTCTTTTACGTGCGTGCACACACATGCGTGAATATACGAGCGTGCGGAGATGGTGATGTGAATATCTCTGTAAATAAACGCTCGCTCGTCAGCTCTTGAGTGTCTGGCCTCGGTTATCGCTTTGAACGGGACGAGCCATCTCTAGCAGTGTGTGATTGAAGGATCGTGTGAGAGAAGACCATGAGTTCCATCTCTAGCAAGCAGTGTGTCTGATTGAGAGATCGGGTGAGAGAAGACCATGAGTTCCATCTCTAGCAGTGTGCACGATTGAAGGATCGGGTGAGAGAAGATCATGAGTTCCATCTCTAGCAGTGTCTGATTGAAGGATCGTGTGAGAAGACCATGGGTTCCATCTCTAGCAGTGTGTCTGATTGAAGGATCGGGTGAGAGAAGATCACGAGTTACATCTCTAGCAGTGTGTCCGATTGAAGGATCGGGTGAGAGAAGACCATGAGTTCCATCTCTAGCAGTGTGCACGATTGAAGGATCGGGTGAGAGAAGACCAAGAGTTTTAGAGCAGGGGTCCGTGTGTACGTGTTCACAAACAGCACCATGCCCCAACATTCTGTTAAGGCTGTACTGGGGGGGGGGTCTGTTGTCCCTGTGTATGGGGTCCCCCTGTGTGTGTAAGGGTTTCTCTCTATTGGGTCCCTGTGTGAGTGTGATGTAGGTAACCCCCTGAGTATGGGGTCTATAATAGGGTTTTCCCCTTTTTTCTGGCAACAAAACCTTTCGATTTTAAGCTTTCATGACTGCAGGGATTTAGCTTCTTGGTTCTTTCGGTAAAGTCACGTAGAAGAGAAATAAAATAAAACAATAAAATAATTATTTTTATATTATCTTATTATTTCCCTTCTACGTGACTACCGAAAGAACCAAGAAGAAAAAAACCTTTTTACAAGGATTCATGTCACTGCATTAGGCACAATACCTTCAGTCAAAATGCAAACAAAAAACATACTTTGATAATATGATGCATTGTCCTTGAAACTGATTGGTCCACACCCAAGAAACGGCTTTCTTTTGAGCCTCGACCCAATTGGTGCTCGACCAGAGGACGACGCCAAAAGGCGGTACAGCTCAAAAGACGACGCACTATCAAAGTAATGCAGACGTGAATCCTTGTAAAAAGATTTCAGTTTTGTTGCCAGAAACAAGGGGAAAAACCCTATTATATTTTGGTACTGGCAAAGGAGGTCTTAATGATATGGGGTCTATACTCTTAGGGTTTTTCGGTAAAGTCACGTAGGCAAAAATAAATAATAGAAATAAAATAATCGCGACGTTTCGGAGGCAACACAAGCTTCCTTCATCAGGTGTAAAAAGGCAGCAAAATAAAATAAAAAACTTATTTTGCTGTGCCTTTTAACACCCAATAAAGGAAGCTTGTTGCCTCCGAAACGTCGTGATTTATTATTTTATTTCTATTATAATTTTATTTATTTTTACCTAGAATACGGGGTCTGTGTTGATGTAGCAGGAGTGGACAACGTCCAGCCTGTGAGCTGTACAAGACCTGCAAAATCATTTGAACTGGCCCCGCCCAGGCAACCGCACGACTCGAAACTCAACAAATCTCGGCGCTTTTTTCATAGCAACAAATATAATTTTGTATGGCCCGCGAATGATGTCATAAATACTCTTAGTTCTTTCGGTAAAGTCACGTAGGTAAAAAAATGAAATTAAAATTAATAAAATAATAAATCGCGATGTTTCGGAGGCAACACAAGTCTTCGTCATCAGGTGGGACCGTCACAGCCAGATTTGTTGCATCAAGTGTCCAGATACTCTTGATGCAGCAAATCTGGCTGTGACGGTCCCACCTGATGACGGAGACTTGTGTTGCCTCCGAAACGTCGTGATTTATTTTTTATTAATTTCAATTTTTTTACCTACGTGACTTTACCGAAAGAACTAAGAGTATGAATCATTGCAGTCACGAAAGCTTAAAATCTAGATGTTATAAATATCCAAATGGCCCTTGGCAGGAAAAAAAGTTCCCGTTCTCACTGTAGCTGGTCCCAGGTGTTCAGGCCTCCTCCCCGTGCAATGCCCCCCTCTTCCCACGGCGCGCCGGCGGTGCCAGCGAACCCCTCCAGGCGGTGCGGGCGACGGCGGCTCGCACGCGCAGCGCCAGCACCACCGCCGTGACGGCACAGAGAGCCGCGTACAGGCGCCACAGCGCGGCCAGCGCCGCCTTCAGCTCGGGGTCGCGCGGGTCCAGCCGCCGCCGTGTCCGGTTCTTGGGGGTCACCGTCACCTCCAACTCTGCCACCATCCGCCCGGCGAGCCAGCAGCTGTAGCGGCCTGCGTCGCGCCGCTTGGCGTCTTGTGTCGGGCACGCGGCGAGAGAGAGAGAGAGGCGATGTACAACATCACCATTGGTACCTCGTTTGCCAGTAAAAAATATGATAATTGGTTTTTTACCCTTTTATCTGGCAACAAAACTGACACCTTTTTTACGAGGAGTCATGTTTGCATAGCAGAGGTCGCAACCGGGTACCCGATACCCGTCCCCTACCCGATACCCGTACCCGGCCGGGTACGGGTAGCCGTTTGCGACCCTGGTGCGGCCGGGTACGGGTAGGCCGTGAGTCACTGGTGAGTAACCGTTTGTCACTCATTTCGGGTAGGGTATGGGTAGGGAACGGGTACCCGTACCCAGCCGGGTACGGGTACCCATTTGCGACCCTGGTGCGGCCGGGTACGGGTAAGGAATCAAAACCCGTTTGCGACCTCTGTTGCATAGACCACAATACCTGCAGTCGTAATGCAAACAAAAAACATAACTCTGATAATGTATGCACTGTCCTTGAAGTTGATTGGTCCACTACCGAGACAGCTTTCCTTAGAGCCTAGTCTCACATGGGTTGGACCAGATGACGCCAAAAGGCGCACAAATCAAAGGCAACACACCATCAGAGTATGAGAGCTCGGGGTAAGCATTTACACCATTGGTACCTCATTTGCGATGTACAACATCGCCCAGAAAGCCCTCTTCCTGATGACGAAACGCTCATGTTGCGATCGAAACTACGTAGTTTTTTTGTTATTTTCTTTGAACCTATCTCCGTGACTTTACTGAAAGACCCAAAGAATATGAATTCCTGCAGTCACGAAAGCTACAAGTCACGATTTAACCTTATTACTGCTAACCCTACCTCCTCCCTTTGTTGCTGCTAATCCTACATAATGCACGGGCATAATATGACTTTGAGACCCCCCCCCCCCACCTCCTACGCATTCCACAAGTAGTGACTAATCCCATATCTGCATTTTCCATAAATATGCTAAATTCCTCTGTTGATATGCAAATTCCTTTGTTAAGGCGCCCTTCCTCCCCGTACCCAGCTTAAATATACGCTGCCAAGCTTGGTGGTGTTCATTCAGACGCTGTCTTTCCGACAGACCTGTTCTTCACCTGAGGACGGCTGCTTGCGTTGTGGCAGAAAAGTCGTGAGAATTGCATTTTATTATGTTGTATTTTTATTATTTTATTATTTCCCTTCTACGTGACTTTACCGAAAGAACCAAGAAGATGTAACCCTCTTCCACGAGTCTCGGGACTCCTCTCTATAGGAGGGTCCTGCCAAGTTTTGTCGCAGCAGTAGGCGGCGGTGTTCCTGTTGCTGCTGTGCGATCCCAGTTGAGTGATTTGCAGGTTCGTCAACACTGGGGAAGTGGTTTGGCTGACAAGTTCCACTCGCTGTGTGGATTTAGCTATGGGAGGAAACTAGGAGAACCCGGCGGAATGCGAGATGTTAACTACCTTCCCTGGTATACAGGCGTAGTCACAAACCGAACCTCTCCATAATAATAAAGGCTCAGTCTTTTGTTATGCAGTCCATTCATAGTCTCAAGCCGCACCTTACCATAATAATAAAAAATTAACCCGTAAAAATAAAGTTTTTCACTATAAATCCTTTATATGCGTGGCATCGGGGCGGCTAGAGTCCTCTCGTCCTCTGGCTTGAGATGGCTGCCACCTATGGGTCAGATGATTGTCTGGCAGCATTAACCAATTGGTAAATACATATTTTTAAAAAATTCCTAAACAGTGTAAAATTTTTGAATTTTTTTTCACGAAAATTCATTGTCACGCACAACGAGTCTGTGTGCAAAATGTTAGCTCGATTGGATCACGGGAAGTGGGTTAAAAAACGACCGAAAGATTTACACGGTCCTAAGCAAGCAAGCGAACTTAATAAAAAGGATTTAAAAAGTGTGCCGTACTTGGCCCTTCCCCTCTTCAACCATTATATATACGGAGTGGTAGCTCTTGTAATCTCTCATTTACTTGATACAGCTGTCGGGCTGTGACGGTTCCACCTGAAGACGGAAGCTTGTGTTGCCTCCGAAACGTCGTGATTTTTATTTTATTTTTATTTAATTTTACTTTTATTAATTTAAATTTTTTACCTACGTGACTTTACCGAAAAAACCTAAGCATATGAATCCTTGCAATCATGAAAGCTTCAAATTTAGAATACAGGAGGTTGTGGGTTCGATCCCAACCCTGATGCCTGCTGCTGCTGTATATTTGGAGTGTTCATGTTCTCCCCGTGGCCACGTGGATTGCTGTCCAGATCCTACGTGTTTTCCCTCCGCATTTGTAACTAACGCGCGTTTAGAGTATTTGGCTGCTATACATTCCCACGCGATAAGCCACTTCGTTGAGTTATCATTTGTGGCCAGGTTGCTTCTAAAAAGAGAGCGATATCAAACTTAATTTGGAGCTTTCGTGACTACAGGAATTACTCTTTGGTTCTTTCGGTAAAGTCACGTGTAAAGAGAAAATAATAAATTAAATAGCATTCTCAGGAAGAACGTAATCAACTAGGTAGGGTGCTGACTGTTATGTTATCCGACTCTCTGTTGTATTACATTACATTTCTAAGTATACTAGATTTGTGTTTCTATTTCATTTATACCTGATGGTGATGGCTTGTGTTGCAATCGAAACGTCGTATGCTAGTATTTAATTTATTACTTTCTCTTGATACGTGACTTTACCTAAAGAACCAACGAGTGAGAGCGATATCGCTCGGTGGGCCTTGAAATAAAACAACGTTTAAACCCAAACAGAACAGGGGGAGAGAACATAGAAACAAGTATAACCCGTAAAAACAAAGTTTTTCACTATAAATCCTTTATATGCGTGGCGGCTAGAGTCCTCTCGTCCTCTGGCTTGAGATGGCTGCCACCTATGGGTCGGATGATTGCATTGCACCATTAATCAATTGGTAATTAAATATAATATTTTTGTCCTAAAAAGTGTTAAATTTTGGAAAAAAATTTTCACGAACATTAATTGTCACGCACAACGAGTCTGTGTGCAAAATGTCAGCTCGATTGGATCACGGGAAGTGGGTTAAAAAAACGACCGAAAGATTTGCACGGTCGTAAGCAAGTAAGCGAACTTAATATAAAGGATTTAAAAACTCCTCTCGCTCGGGCCCTCTCTCGCACCGGCTGTCACTCACTCAAGATGTGCAGGTGGTTGTTGTTGTCCAGTGTGACCCGCCCAAACTCCGTGGCCTCGAGCTCGCGACCCCGTGTCCTCGAGAACACGGAGCGCAGGAGAGGCTGCCCGTCCCGGTCCCAGCCCACGGCGCTCTGGGGCGCACGTCACAACACGCGTGTCACACCGCACGTGGAACATCACACTGCATGCAAAACGTCATACCGCATGCAGAACATCACACCGCATGCAGAACATCACACCGCATGCAAAACGTCACACCGCATGCAGAACGTCACTCCGTGCTAAATAGTACACCGCATGTCATGCCGCTACACACGAGTAAATGCCACCCTAAACTCAACTATTATTCTTCTTGGTTCTTTCGGTAAAGTCACGTAGAAGGGAAATAATAAAATAATAGAAATAAAACATAATAAAATACAATTCTCACGACGTTTCGGCCACAATGCAAGCAGCCGTCCTCAGGTGAAGAGCAGGTCTGTCGGAAAGACAGCGTCTGAAATTTTTTTGTCTTTCCGACAGACCTGTTCTTCACCTGAGGACGGCTGCTTGCGTTGTGGCCGAAACGTCGTGAGAACTGTATTTTATTATGTTTTTATTATTATTTTATTATTTCCCTTCTACGTGAATTTACTGAAAGAACCAAGAAGATGAATCCCTGCAGTCACGAAAGCTTTAAATCGAAACTCAACTATTATTTTTCAGGTAAAGCTATTTTTCAAAAGCGACCTGGCCACGTGATGGCTCAATGAAGTGGCTTATCACGTCGAGATGTACAGCAGCCAAATACGATAAACGTGGAGGGGAAAACCCGCGCAGTACCTGGAGAAAAATCCATGGAGAGAGTGAACACGCAAACTCGAACCCACGACATCCAGCCACCGCGGCTCTCCACACGCTCCACTACACACGGCAGCACACCAGCCGCGTCATACCACGGCGCACAAGGTCACCCCCCCCCACTCGCTCCTCACCCCGTGCCCCCACCCTCACCTGTGGGGAGCCCCCGGGGCACGAGAGCTCCACGTGTCTCGCCAGGGTCACGCGGTTCTGCAGCTTGGCAACCCCCACGGGTCCCAGGCCCATCAGCTCACGCAGCGCCGCGTGGACGTCTACGGGGTGGAGGGGGGGGTATACTGGGTGTGATGTGTGGTTGGGGTGGTGGGTGTGATGTGTGGTGGGTGTGGTGGGTGTGGTGAGTGTGGTGGGTATGGTGGGTGTGATGTGTGGTGGGTGTGGTGGGTGTGGTGAGTGTGGTGGGAGTGGTAGTTGTGGTGGGTGTGGTGAGTGTGGTGGGTGCGGTGAGTGTGCTGGGTATGGTGAGTGTGGTGGGTGTGGTGAGTGTGCTGGGTATGATGGGCGTGGTGTGCCGTGTACCCTGCACGGCGCTGCCCGTCGAGGCGCACGTGTCACGGCAGCCGCGCACGAGGATCTCGGGGGGCCGGGAGCGCGCGGCCAGGAGCGCGAAGCGGGGGGCGGCCAGGGAGCCGCATCCCACGGGACCCCCAGGAACCTCGCTCACATAGCGGGGGGCCCCCTACAGCATCACATCAATCAGCACAACAACATCGTCATCATACCAATCATCATCGTCACACGAGCCCCCTCACCTCACACTGTATTTTCAATCTTGATTTGAAGCTTTCGTGACTGCAGAAATCCATACTCTTTGGTTCTTTCGGTAAAGTCACGTGGGTAGAAAATAAACTGCTGAAGAAGGCTTAGCTGTGGTTGTCCCACCTTCAAGTTTTAAGTTTCATTTATTAGGTACAGCCCTGTGAGCCATTCGGCTATTGAATCGGGTGCAACCGCAACAAACAAAAAAACAAAAACATGAATAAGAAAACATCTTAAAGTGACTAAGTGCAAACAGAAAATCCAAGAAAAGACAGCAAAATATTGCAGAAAAAGCACCGTACACCAACCCTGATGACGATTGCTTGTGTTGCGATCGAAACGTCGTGATCGATAATTTTTTACCTACGTGACTTTACCGAAAGAACCAAAGAGTGAATTTTTACTTTGCAAACGCAGAGGCCACCAGTGTAAAGTAGTATTTAACAGACTGTTTGGGCAAGTGATGTTAGCGAGTGGCAGCAAGTGATGTTAGCGAGTGGCAGCAAGTGATGTTAGCGAGTGGCAGCACGTGAAGGCCGACACGGCAAACGAGGCGGGGTGAGTGGTGGGGGGCAGCATCACGAGCGGCCGCCCCGTCTCCCGAGTGGCGATGTTTAGCACATCGCAGCAGGAATTCATTTAAGGCTGAGGTCACCCAAGGGAGGAGGCCCAGAACAGGTTCAGTGGTGGCCTTGAACGGGGAACGAACTCGGGGCTCTGGCCGGCTTCGTGGCGTGGTGCGCTAATCACTACACTACCGCTCCAACCACCACCACCACCATCATCACAACCACCACCACCACCATTATCACCACCATCACCACCACCATCACAACCAGTGTCACTACACTACCGCTCCCACCACCTCCACCATCGACATCACAACCACCACCATCATCACCACCATCACCACCACCATCACAACCAGTGTCACTACACTACCGCTCCGACCACCACCACCATCATCATCACAACCACCACCACCACCATCATCACCACCATCATCACAACCAGTGCCACTACACTACCGCTCCCACCACCACCACCACCATCATCACAACCAGTGTCACTACACTACTGCTCCCACCACCACCACCATCAACACAACCAGTGTCACTACACTGCCACCACCACCACCATCATCACAACCAGTGTCACTACACTACCGCTCCCACCACCACCACCATCATCACAACCATCACCGTGACTCTGCTTATATCACCCAGGAACGCCTCGTCGAGTCCCAACACTCCTTGTAAGGAGGATCCTGCCGCACACTACACATGAACACCACACACACCACACACACTACACATGAACACCACACACACCACACTACACACGAACACTACACACACACCGCACGCACACTACACATGAACACCGCACATGCACCACACACACTACACATGAACACCACACACACCACACGCACACTACACATGAACACCACACACACCACACACACACTACACATGAACACCACACACACCGCACACACTACACATGAACACCGCACACACACCACATGCACACTACACATGAACACCACACACACCGCACGCACACTACATGAACACTACACACGCACGCGCCTTCTTGGCAGAGGTGATGACGCTGCCGGACACCATGCACACCCCCGCGTTGATCATCTCCCCGGGCCGCCCACACCTGGGGGGAGGGGTCGGGGGGGGAGGTGTGTTGAGTGGCGGTGTGTGCGTGTAATGTGTGCTGCGTGTGTGTGCTGCGTGTGTGTGCTGCGTGTGTGTGCTGTGTGTGTGTGTTGTGTGTGTGCTGTGTGCGGTGAGTGTGTGTGCGGTGAGTGTGTGCGTGTAATGTGTGCTGCGTGTGTGTGCGGTGAGTGTGTGCGGTGAGTGTGTGCTGAGTGTGTGTGCGGTGAGTGTGTGTGCGGTGAGTGTGAGTGCGGTGAGTGTGTGCGGTGAGTGTGTGCTGAGTGTGTGTGCGGTGAGTGTGTGTGCGGTGAGTGTGTGCGGTGAGTGTGTGCGTGTAATGTGTGCTGAGTGTGTGTGTGCGGTGTGTGTGTGTGCGGTGTGTGTGTGTGCGGTGAGTGTGTGTGCGGTGAGTGTGTGCGGTGAGTGTGTGTTGAGTGTGTGCGGTGAGTGTGTGTTGAGTGTGTGTGCGGTGAGTGTGTGTGCGGTGAGTGTGTGTTGAGTGTGTGCGGTCAGTGTGTGTTGAGTGTGTGTGCGGTGAGTGTGTGTGCGGTGAGTGTGTGTGCAGTGAGTGTGTGCGGTGAATGTGTGCTGTATGGTACATGTGTTGAGTGGCGTCTGGTGAGTGTGTGTTGTGTGAGTGAGGTGTGGTTATGTGGTGTATGTGTAGAGTGGTGGGTGGTGAGCGTGGTGTGTAGGCATGTGTTGAGTGGTGTGTGGTGTTGTGTGAGTGAGGTGTGGTGAGTGGTGAGTGAGGTGTGATGAGTGGTGTATGTGTTGAGTGGTGTGTGGTGTTGTGTGAGTGGGGTGTGGTGAGTGGTGAGTGAGGTGTGATGAGTGGTGTATGTGTTGAGTGGGGTGTGGTGTTGTGAGTGGGGTGTGGTGAGTGGGGAGTGAGGCGTGGTGAGTGGTGTATGTGTTGAGTGGGGTGTGGTGTTGTGAGTGGGGTGTGGTGAGTGGGGAGTGGGGAGTGTTGTGTGGCCACGTGGTGTATGTGTTGAGTGGTGAGTGAGGTGTGGTGAGTGGTGTATGTGGTGAGTGGTGTGTGGTTGTGTGAGTGGGGTGTGGTGAGTGTTGAGTGAGGTGTGGTGAGTGGGGTGTGGTGAGTGGTGAGGCAATGCTCACCTGTCACACGGGGTCCACCCACTCCAAGCCGTGAACACCGTCACCTTGTTGTGCACACCCTTCACCTGCACTCACCACACTCACCACACTCACTCACCACACACCACAACAACAACCGCCATTCGCCACTAAGTGGCGGTGACATCACCACGTCACTAGTGCCAGGCCATGTGCGCCTTGAGGCCACGTGAAGTGTCGAACGCCCGCTGGCAGGAGGTCACGGGGGCAGACCCAGCAGGTGCCACGGGTCGACTGACCGAGATGACTGGCCACACACCACACTCACACATTCACCCACCATACACCACAAACTCACCACATGCCACTCACTACACACCACAAACTCACCATATTGTCTTCACACTTAACACAAACTCACCACATGCCACTCACTACACACTCACCACAAACTCACCCATACTGTCTTCACACTCAACACAAACTCACCACATGCCACTCACTACACACTCACCACAAACTCACCACATGCCACTCACTACACACTCACCACAAACTCACCCATACTTCACACTCAACACAGCACCCTGCTGATAAAGTGTCCGGGGGCTCATGTGTGGCCTTCCTGGATACGATGCAATGATATTGTTCACTCACCACCCAGCCTCCACACTCACCCACACTCACCCACACTACTGACTGTGACGTCATGACCCCCCCCACCCCCACACCCCCCTCGTGCCCCCTCCCCCACCGTGAGCTCAGGTCGCGGTTGCTCCTCCCGGTCCAGCAGCACGAGGCGGGCGCTGCCCGTGAACTGCACCACGACCTGGGGGGGGGGGGTCACCTCGTCACAGGGAGGTGGGGGGGGGTCACAGGGAGGTGGGGGGGGTCACCTGTCACAGGGAGGTGGGGGGGGTCACCTCGTCACAGGGAGGTGGGGGGGGGGTCACAGGGAGGTGGGGGGGGGGTCACAGGGAGGTGGGAGGGGGTCATCTTGTCACAGGGAGGTGGGGGGGGGGTCACAGGGAGGTGGGGGTGGGTCACCTCGTCACAGGAGGGGTCACAGGGGGGGTCACCTCGTCACAGGGAGGTGGGGAGGGGGTCACCTCGTCACAGGGGGGGGGGTCACCTCGTAAGCAAAGTAGAAGTCTCCGTCTGACGAGCCGCAGATGTAGTGACCAGAGTCCGAGGCTGCGAGGTGACATCATCATCCACATCATCATCATCATCCACATAGTCACACCATCATCATCCACATCATCATCCACATAGTCACATCATCATCATCCCCAGTCACATCATCATCATCCACATAGTCACACCATCATCCACATCATCCACATAGTCACATCATCCACATCATCCTCCACAGAGTCACACCATCATCATCCACATCATCCTCCACCTTTGCATCATCACCTAAACATCAGGTGGTGAATCATGTGAGTGATGGGGTGAGTAAACTAAAACTAAACTTCTTATATTCTTGGTTCTTTCGGTAAAGTGACTTTACCGAAAGAACCAAGAATATGAATCCCTGCAGTCACGAAAGCTTTATATCAAAATTTAAACTTCTTATTTTTATTTTACCAGGTAAGGCCCACTGAGCTATAAGAAGCGACCTGTCCACAATTGACAGCTCAACGGAGTGGCTTGCCATGGAGAAATTGATAGCAGCCAAATATCCCAAACGCATCTTTCTAACGAGGTGATCGTGATAATTGTTTTTTTACCCTTCTATCTGGCAACAAAACTGACACCTTTTTTACAAGGAGTCATGTTTGCATAGACCACAATACCTGCAGTCATAATGCAAACAAAACCCATGTGAGACTAGGCTCTAAGGAAAGCCGTCTCGGGTGTGGACCAATCAACTTCAAGGACAGTGTAGACATTATCAGAGTTATGTTTTTTGTTTGCATTACGACTGCAGGTATTGTGGTCTATGCAAACATGACTCCTTGTAAAAAAAGGTGTCAGTTTTGTTGCCAGATAGAAGGGTAAAAAAAACAATTATCATATTTGTTTAACTGCCAAATGAGGTTCCAATGGTGAGGTGAGATAGTGACGAGGTGGGTGATGAGGTGGTGAGTCTCTCAGGCCTGGAGGATGAGGAGGCTGAGTGGAGGAGACGAGTAACGAGGCGAGGAGGTGAGGAGCGGTCTCGCTCACGGCGGCTGTCGAGGATGACGAGGTTGAAGAGGAGAATGCTGAAGCGGCTCGTCAAGTCGGCGCTCATGGCGTCGCGGTCCAGGATCCGCGTGCCCGAGCGATCCGAGAGAACCACGGGGCGAGACGAGAACCAGCCGGGGAGCTGTCTCCACGGGGGGACACGGGGGGGGGGGGGGGGGGGGGAGACACGGGGGAGACACGGGGGGATACAGGGGGGACACGGGGACACAGGGGGACACGGGGAGACACGGGGGAGACACGGGGGGACAGGGGGAGACACGGGGACACGGGGAGACACGGGGGGATACGGGGACACGGGGGGACACGGGGACACGGGGGAACACGGGGAGACACGGGGGGATACGGGGAGACAGGGGGAGACACGGGGGGACACGGGGAGAGACACGGGGGGACACGAAGGGACACGGGGAGACACGGGGAGAGACACGGGGAGACACGGGGGGACAGGGGGGGACACGGGGAGAGACCACGTGACCTACTAGAGCCACCCTCAAGCCCTTCCCCTCTCTCTAGCCCCCGCGCTCCTAGGACCCCCACTCGCCTCCCCCCCCTCTCTGTAGTAACCCACGTGACCCCCCCCCCACCGCTCTGTAGTAGAACCACGTGACCCCCCCACCTCTCTGCAGTATAACCACGTGACCCCCCACCTCTCTGCAGTACACCACGTGACCCCCCCACCTCTCTGTAGTAGAACCACGTGACCCCCCCACCTCTCTGTAGTAGAACCACGTGACCCCCCCCCCCACCTCTCTGTAGTAGAACCACGTGACCCCCCCACCTCTCTGTAGTAAAACCACGTGACCCCCCCCACCTCTCTGTAGTAGAACCACGTGACCCCCCCCACCTCTCTGTAGAACCACGTGACCCCCCCCCACCTCTCTGTAGTAGAACCACGTGACCCCCCCACCTCTCTGTAGTAGAACCACGTGCCCCCCCCACCTCTCTGTAGTAGAACCACGTGGCCCCCCCCCACCTCTCTGTAGTAGAACCACGTGACCCCCCCCACCTCTCTGTAGTAGAACCACGTGACCCCCCACCTCTCTGTAGTAGAACCACGTGACCCCCCCACCTCTCTGTAGTAGAACCACGTGACCCCCCCCTGTAGTAAACCACGTGACCCCCCCCCCACCTCTCTGTAGTAGAACCACGTGACCCCCCCCTGTAGTAAACCACGTGACCCCCCCCCCACCTCTCTGTAGTAGAACCACGTGACCCCCCCACCTCTCTGTAGTAGAACCACGTGACCCCCCCACCTCTCTGTAGTAGAACCACGTGACCCCCCCCCCCACCTCTCTGTAGTAGAACCACGTGACCCCCCGGAGCGCGTCCTCGGGCTTGCAGCGGCAGGGCAGCTCCATGGCGGAGCCGCTGAGGAAGGCGGCGCTCACGAAGCTCAGCGTGGCGGGGCAGCGGGGAGGGGCAGCCGGGGGGGGGGCCACGCTGGTGGGGGGGGCGAGCACGAGCAGCAGCACGAGCAGCAGCGGCAGCAGCGTGGGGTGTGAGTGAGTGTGCATGGTCGGTGTTGTGGCGTCAGTGGTGGTTGTGTTGTGGTGTTATTATTGTGGTTGTGGTGTTATTGTCGTGGTTGTATTATTGTGCTGTTATTATTATGGTGTTATTATTGTGGTTGTGTTATTATTGTGGTGTTATTATTGTGGTTGTGTTGTTATTATTGTGGTGTTATTATTGTGGTTGTGTTGTTATTATTGTGGTGTTATTATTGTGGTTGTATTGTTGTGGTTGTATTGTTGTGGTGTTATTATTGTGGTTGTATTGTTGTGGTTGTATTGTTGTGGTGTTATTATTGTGGTTGTATTGTTTTGGTGTTATTATTGTGGTGGTATTATTGTGGTTGTATTGGTGTGGTTGTATTGTTGTGGTGTTATTATTGTGGTGTTATTGTTGTGGTTGTATTATTATTGTGGTTGCATTATTATTATTGTCGTAGTTGCATAGTTGCGGTGTTATTGTTGCGGTGTTGTTGGGGGTAGCAAAGTCCGTTATGGAGGTGGAACCGTTACGCCCCGTGACCCGTAGCGATGGGGGAGGGGGGCGTAGAGAGGCGGGGCTAGGGGGGGGTGGAGGGGGTCTCACAGACTCCGCCCACCCCGCCCGTACGCCCCGCCCACCCCGCCCGCCCCACCCCGCGCTCGTCCCCCCCGCCCATTCGCCCCGCCTACCCGTCTCGTGCACGCACGCCCCGCCCATTCACTCCGCCCCACCCGCACGCCCCGCCCGCCCCACCCCGCGCTCGTACGCCCCGCCCACCCGCCCCACCCCGCGCTCATACGCCCCGCCCACCCCGCCCTGCGCTTGCCCACCCCACCCCACCCAGCCCGTCCGCCCCACCCCGCCCCGCCCGCACAGGCCCCCGTGCTTGGTCGCCATCAGTCAGCAGCAGCAAGGCGAACAAGTCGCGATGAGTGAGACGGAGTCCGCCGCCTCGCTCCCTCGGGGTAACCACGTGGAGGTTGTGTGTGTGGGCGAGGCGTGGAGGTTGTGTGTGTGGGCGACGCGTGGAGGTTGTGTGTGTGGGCAACACATGGAGGGTGTGTGTGTGGGCGAGGCGTGGAGGTTGTGTGTGTGGGCAACACATGGAGGTTGTGCGTGTGGGCTACACATGGAGGTTGTGTGTGTGGGCTACACATGGAGGTTGTGTGTGTGGGCTACACATGGAGGCTGTGTGTGTGGGCTACACATGGAGGTTGTGTGTGTGGGCTACACGTGGAGGTTGTGTGTGTGGGCTACACATGGAGGTTGTGTGTGTGGGCTACACATGGAGGTTGTGTGTGTGGGCTACACATGGAGGTTGTGTGTGTGGGCGAGGCGTGGAGGTTGTGTGTGTGGGCTACACATGGAGGTTGTGTGTGTGGGCGAGGCGTGGAGGTTGTGCGTGTGGGCTACACATGGAGGTTGTGTGTGTGGGCTACACATGGAGGCTGTGTGTGTGGGCTACACATGGAGGTTGTGTGTGTGGGCTACGCGTGGAGGTTGTGTGTGTGGGCTACGCGTGGAGGTTGTGTGTGTGGGCTACACATGGAGGCTGTGTGTGTGGGCTACACATGGAGGCTGTGTGTGTGGGCTACACATGGAGGTTGTGTGTGTGGGCTACGCATGGAGGTTGTGTGAGTGGGCTACACATGGAGGTTGTGTGTGTGGGCTACGCGTGGAGGTTGTGCGTGTGGGCTGCACGTGGAGGTTGTGTGTGTGGGCTACGCGTGGAGGTTGTGCGTGTGGGCTGCACGTGGAGGTTGTGTGTGTGGGCTACGCGTGGAGGTTGTGCGTGTGGGCTGCACGTGGAGGTTGTGTGTGTGGGCTACGCGTGGAGGTTGTGCGAGTTTTTGTTGCAGTTGTCACGGTCCGCACGCTACGCTCCGAACCAGACGGGCTCCAGTTCGAATCGCGTGCAGTGACGATTTTCCGAACCGGTCCCGGGCCTCTCCTAGGTCGACTCGGCCTCAAATGAGTACAGTAGCTGGTGTGGGGTGTGTAAACATCGCCACTAATGGGGAGAGACAAAGGCGGCCAGGCGTGGTGTTGCCCACCCTTGCACGTGCCCCACATGGCTGTTTTGAGGATATTTGGTGAGTTTGGGGGTGTTTGGGGGTGAGTTTGGGGGTGAGTTTGAGGGTGAGTTTGAGGGTGTTTTGGTGAGTTTGGGGGTGTGTTTGAGGGTGCGTTTGGGGGTGATTTTGAGGGTGAGTTTGAGGGTGTTTTTGGTGAGTTTGGGGGTGTGTTTGGGGGTGAGTTTGAGGGTGAGTTTGAGGGTGTTTTTGGTGAGTTTGGGGGTGAGTTTGAGGGAGTTTGGGGGTGAGTTTGAGGGTGTTTTGGTGAGTTTGAGGGTGAGTTTGGGGGTGAGTTTGAGGGTGTTTTGGTGAGTTTGAGGGTGAGTTTGAGGGTGAGTTTGGGGGTGAGTTTGGGGGTGAGTGGCACGTGGTGTGGTGAGCCTCGTGACGTCCGTTATCACGAAGACCCATCACGGTGACAATTAGGAAATCGGCAAACGGTGAAAGTACAAAATGACTAAAGTCTGGGATCGCACGCAAGCCCCCTATTGACAGCAGACGAACGCGTAGGCGACCGATATCCATCATCAGTCGCCTGTCATGCTCCGATGGAAATAGCTGTTGCGAAAAGTAAACAAAGTAAATGTTACGATTTTTCCCACTGATCTGTGTCGTGAATGTCATTTCTGTACGATTCCAATCATTTTTATCGTCAAAATCGCCAAATTTTTGCGGAGCTCCGCTGCAAACACGAGGACAGACGAGAGGTGAGGCAGCCACGAGCTCAGCCTCCCCTCTGATTGCGCAATGAGCGCGTGCCTGTTGCTATCTCTCTGTATGTCACCAGTGTAATGTTTGTAGACGCCTTCATTACATGTCCTCGCCTTCCATAGTCCACGTAACTTATTTCACGTGTGTATATAAAGTTATTTAAAGACCCACAGACACGCACAGAGACCCACAGACACGCACAGAGACCCACAGACACGCACAGAGACCCACAGAAACCTTGCATAGAGACCCACAGACACGTACAGCGACCCACAGACACGCACAGAGACCCACAGGCACGCACAGAGACCCACAGACATTCACAGAGACCCACAGAAACCTTGCACAGAGACCCACAGACACGCAGAGAGACCCACAGACTCGCACAGAGACCCACAGACACGCACAGAGACCCACAGACACGCACAGAGACCCACAGACACGCACAGAGACTCACAGAAACCCACAGACATGCACAGAGACCCACAGAAACCTTGCATAGAAACCCACAGAAACCTTGCATATGAAGTACTCTTGAAGACGCGTGGACACCGTAGTAAGGCACACCGTATTTATTACACAATGTCGTACAGCACTGGAGGGATGTATCGGCCCCCTCACCCGTATAACTGGGAATTCACCTCTAGCTAGCCTTCCTAGCCGAGTCCTCCACTAACGGGCTAGGGGAGGCTGTCTGGCCCGACACTGGTCAGTCGGGCTACGGTACCCGGAATCCCAGAGGACTAACTCTGGTTCCGGGACCACGCCACTGGCTCCAGCCTGTGCTGCCCTTACAAGGGCGGCGTCCCACGGGGAGTCCAGGGCCTATCTGGCCGGTCTTCCGTCTTCCTTTTACTACTCTAAGACTCAACCCCGAGCTCTCTGGCTCATCCCTTTTTATACCCCCCTAGAGGATCGAAACCCCCCTCACGCCGTCCAGTGCGGACGTCGTTGCGGCCACCACCCCGTGTGCTCACGGAGTCCCCGCCCACTGTGTTTGTTATCCGTTAGCTCCCATGCAAACAGCCCTACACAAACAGCCCCTCTGTAACAGCCCTACACATAGAGACCCACAGACTCACACAGAGACCCATAGACACGCACAGAGACCCACAGAAACCTTGCACAGAGACCCACAGACTCGCACACATATCCACAGACACGCACAGAGACCCACATACTCGCATAGAAACCCACAGACATGCACAGAGACCCACAGAAACCTTGCACAGAGACCCACAGACTCGCACAGAGACCCACAGACACGCATAGAGACCCACAGACACACAAAGACCCACAGACACGCACAGAGACCCACAGACACGCACAGAAACCCACAGACACGCACAGAGACCCACAGACACGCACAGAGACCCACATACACCCACAGACCCGCACAGAGACCCACAGACACGCACAGCGACCCACAGACACCCACAGACCCGCACAGAAACCCACAGACACGCACAGAAACCCACAGACACGCACAGAGACCCACATACTCGCACAGAGACCCACAGACACGCACAGAGACCCACAGACATGCAGAGACCCACAGACACGCAGAGACCCACAGACACGCACAGACACGCACAGACACCCACAGAAACCTTGCACAGAGACCCACAGACACGCACAGAGACCCACAGACATGCACAGAGACCCACAGACACGCACAGAGACCCACAGACACGCACAGAGACGCACAGACACGCACAGAGACGCACAGAGACCCACAGACACGCACAGGGACCCACAGACACGCACACATATCCACAGACACGCACAGAGACCCACAGACACACACAGAGACCCACAGACACGCACAGAGACCCACAGACACGCACAGAGACCCACAGACACGCACAGAGACCCACAGACACGCACAGAGACCCACAGACACGCACAGAGACCCACAGACACGCACAGAGACCCACAGACACGCACAGAGACCCACAGACTCACACAGAGACCCACAGACTCACACAGAGAGACCCACAGACTCACACACAGAGACCCACAGACTCACACAGAGACCCACAGACTCACACAGAGACCCACAGACTCACACAGAGACCCACAGACTCACACAGAGACCCACAGACATGCACATAAATTCACACGGGCTCAGAGACCCACAGACGCACATAGGGACCCACAGACATCTATCGGGACTCACAAAAGTGCAGAGACCGACAGACATACACAGAGACCCACGGACACGCTCAGAGACCCACACGGACCGAAGCTCCTCTTCTCAGATGGGGGTGGGTGGGAATCATGAATCTCCAAGAAACTACGAGAGAATTCCCCCCTCGAGTAATTTCTCCCCATTTCCAGCCCTACTCACGTGGTCACTTGAAATGGTGGTGAATATTGTGGTGAAAGAGACTCGTGGTGAGTGCAGAGGTCGCAAACGGGTTTTGATTCCTTACCCGTACCCGGCCGCACCAGGGTCTCAAACGGGTACCCGTACCCGGCCGGGTAGGGTCCGGGTACGGGTACCCGTACCCGATACCCGGCCGGCTATGGGTAGCCGGGTATCGGGTAGGGTATGGTTATCGGGTACCCGATTGCGACCTCTGGGATGAAGCCATGTTGCAGGCGCGGGTGGGTTGATTCTAGGAACTTGAATTGTGAGAAGAGACAAGACGTTGGGAAATGAGTGACAAACGGTTACTCACCAGTGACTCACGGCCTACCCGTACCCGGCCGCACCAGGGTCGTAAATGGGTACC